CCCCCCCTCCAATTTGATCCAGGTATCGCCCATTTTGAGCAGAATCTGGTGTGTTTACTATTTGCTTGAAGCCAAGTCCCGGGTCTGTTCTGTGTTTTGTTCGGGCATTTTTACGCTGTGCTCTGCTTGTTGCGTCAGTAGTGCCCCTTGAATATTGCTCCGATACACAGACGGACTGCCGTATTACTGGTAGAACGCGACCATCGCAGACGCCAGTTCTCCTTATCCGTAGGAAGTCTAGTCAGTTCATATCGCGAAACCCATTTCCGTAGCTCGTGTTTCCCTGTCTGTATTTCGAGCTTTTTCTTGTTTCTTCCGTTTGTGGTACTAGTCCAGCCCGTGGTAACCTTTCCTTGTTTTGTATCGCCGTCTGTTCTCTGTGTATTCCACGTCATTTGCATTTCATTGTTTTTCATAACGCGTAATCCTCAGTGTACAAATAAAAACACTTTTATTTCCTTTAGCGTCGGAAATACGGCAAGAAGGAAATTAGAATAGGAATCCTTCGTGGTTGATTACATTTGATTCATCGTATTTATACGGGCACATGAAGTTTGAAATCCCAGTAGGTTTTGCGTCACGCGTGAGCTTGGCGTCATTGCTGTCAATGACTTGCCCATGCATATTTTTTCTTTTTCGTCGGGAGAGAGGAAAAAGTGATTCATACGAGGGACTGATTCATCTGTTGGAATTGTGACTGTCTTGTCAGTGCAGGCGCCAAGCCCACTTCCCGCTAACTTAAACGATAAAATACGCCCGGATTATGTCGGTGTTTCAACATTTGTATTTAAACATCCTTCATTTGGTTTGACGTGATATTTTCCAGAGTAGTTTTTTTTTTTAAGTTGTTTCTCCACTTAAACCCACTTCATGGTAGAACTAAAGAGATTAAATTTGAAGCCTTCGAAGGCCATGCCTTTGGTTCATCCATCCTTTTAATATATTCAGTGTTTTGCAGACTGAATAGCCTTCATTTTTAATCGATTCAGCATTCCCTTTAAGGAAATTAATTGATTATGTAAGAAGATCCTGTGTATTTGTCCAATTGTTTGCATGGAACAGTAAACTGTTAATGTGGCCTTTGTGTCCCCCCCCCCCCCACTAACTTTGAATTTGCATGCTTTTTTTTTTACAAAAAACTTTGTCCTCTACACTTTTAATCCCTTCCATCGAAAACACTGACAGGTGACAATGCTGAATTCCAAGGCATCATTTCATGTCATTGATGTTGAATTTTAAGTTTATAATACAATATTACGATGTGTATCGGAGTAGTAGGTTGTGAGGGCGTGATTTAGAACGGGGTCCACTGGTGCGCTGTTGTAAACACAGTAATGAACATTTGAGTTACATAAAACGCAAGGAATTTCTGAACGAGTTGAATCGCTGTTGGTTAAATTTTTTTTTAGCACAAGTCAATTGCATTCATGTGTGTAAAATATGCGATATTTCTTCAACAGTTTCAAATTGTCCGCTACTAGTTCGTTGCCTTGACTGTCATGTATTTCGGAGTCACTCCTGACTGGTGTTTGGCCCTGAGAACGCTCCCTTTGCAAGGCTGTGCGTGCTACACTTTGTTGGCACTTTGACTCAGAACATCTGTCTTCAAGGTTTCTGGATAAAGTTTACATAATACATGTAAATGTATCCAAGAAGGCAACGCAAGGCAAAACCTTTGCCGTGTGCAGGGATAGAGTCATATTGTCCGCAAACATTAAAGTTACCTCTTTCTTGATATCTGACCTTTACATGGCAATGGATTTTTGGATTGTGGTCTCATGAGGTAGGTCATTGAGTGGCCCTGCAACATTTTTAAAAATCTGTACTTGTGGGTTATCAGGATACATCGCTTTAAAAATAGGTTAGGTTAGTTGTCATTTGTTTAAATAAAATATAATAACTTTCAAGTATAGGTCATTTATCCACACACATTAACCCAACCTAAACTAACCTAACCCAACCTAAACTAAACTAACCTAAACTAACCTAACCCAACCTAAACTAACCTAACCTAACCTAAACTGAACTAACCTAAACTAACCTAACCTAAACTAACCTAACCTAACTTAACTTATTTTTAAAGCGATGTATCCGGATAACCCACAAGTACCTAAAAATCCTACTGCCTAGATATTCAGGGTAGAATTAATTACTCTGGAATGTAGGTGGGTTATATAGTCTAGGAAGAGTGCAGCAGCTATAAGATTAGCGAGTCAGGAAAAGCCAGTGGAACGCATCTGGTGCATACACACTGATGTGTACTGGTTCTTAACTTTTATTTATCATTGCTTTATGTTGAATTAAAGCTGTGTATGCATTGGAATAAATAAATAAATGATAATCTTTTTCTTTCTTTCTTTTTCAAATGTTATCTACAGAATGTTGCTATTTGGTTTAACCTATCCTTGTTTGTTTTGAGGAGGCAACTGATTCAGGTTCCTTCCTGTATCAACTGTTGTGATGGAGGTGTCATTTTTGTGTCTGCGTTCAGTTTGCACCCACTGCCCTCTACTTCTCGCTCCCTCTTAAGTCGTCGTACTAAGAAGGTCGGCGTGTGTCTGTATTTTTACTTTTGATGTAGCCAGCCCAAAACCTTTCCTGCGGTACTACTTGCGTCAGGTTTGGAGGGGGCGGAGGAGTTCTAAGTCTCCAGGCACGTCACAAAATACACCTTGCAGTTCTAATCCGTGTTACGTCATTATATTCAACACTTTTTAGCATCTACAGTTGGCAGTACGTTTAAATCATTCAGCTACATGATTTCTGCATCAATTTTTAAAGTACTTTCTCCAGGGGCACTGAGAAATGGAGGATTTATAGTTTGTTGTCGCCGTTAAATGCGCTCGTGTGTTTTATGGCTTTGCAGCTCTGTGGATTTCCTGCATATAAACTTTGTTTCATGTTTATATTTTTATTTTGTTTCTGTTACAGATTGATAAGAATGGAGATGGTTACATTGACTTGTCTGAACTCAAAGAGGCTCTCGATGTGTGCGGTTTTAAATTGCCAGGTTGGAAGGTGCGACAGATGATTGAGGAATACGATGACAAAAGACAAATACAACATAAAGGTCGACTTTCATTCGACGAGTTTGAAAAGGTACTCTTGTTCTTTTGCTGTGTAAATTTTTATTTTTTATTTATTTATTTATTTATCCCAACATGTAATTATTTCAGGTATACCACAGTTCCAAACTGCACATTTCTTCGTGTATGACAACTCTTTGTTTTGAAAACTCATGTTACATAAGCTTACATATACTACAGTAATACGTTCAGTGACTTAATTTGTTCATGAGAATATTTATTACTGTTCTTATTAATTTTGTTGTCATGGGGATGCTTTCGTTTAGTAATCTGTTCCAAAGCATGCCCGGGTATGATGCTTGTCATAATTCTTAATATTTAGCAAGTTTAGGCATGGAATTGAACTTCCAATAAATTAATTTTAACATAATATCTAATATTTGTTTCCTGTTTTAAATTCTAAGCATTTGTTGAAGCAAATTATTTGAAATCTAAAATTGCCTCAAAACTGGCATGTTATGCACGAGGAAATTTATTTCTCTGTTGCACAGTCCGTGCAAGTGGATAATTTTAATTTTGAGACCCATAATATTCGTTACCTGTTCGAACCAGACAGCTCCGACCAATTGAACTCAACGTCAGTTTGCTCGGTTTTGTTTCTGCCCCTGTGTGGTGAACAGCTCATAGTAAAAGGCTTTTGTAGTCGCTGAAAACACATGCGGAATATTTTTGTAATCGTAATTTTTGTTTTCGCTGTGGAAGTCATTAACATCTCATTTAATTTAAAAAAAAAAATTGCAGATGTGCCTAGAACTGAAATCAAATGAAGTGGCTAGCAAATTTAAACAGTTAGTGTCCAAGAAAGAGAACTTGGAAACGCTCGGCGGAATGTCAGACGCGTCCAGCGAAGGCACCACGCATTCGGTACGACTCGAGGAGCAGCTGGCCTTTTCCGATTGGGTCAACAGTAATCTGCGTGCAGATCCCGACCTGAAGCATCTCCTGCCGATTGATTCAGAAGGGAAAGCTCTGTACGACAAAGTGAAGGATGGCATTCTTCTCTGGTGAGATCTGTTTGTGGAATTTGAGGTCCCTCGTATGAGATTTTAAGGGAAACGGGCATCTACGTTTGCAAATTGCAAAGCCTCGGGAAGAATCTGTCCTTGGCACAGATTTGTTGTTAGAGCCTGAAATGTTTCACAGCCCTTTATAAATCTCTGTAGAACGTTACTTTGAAACACTTTTGTTACATTTGCTGCACAAAAATATATATAAATATTATATTTACTAGACGATGGATAATATCCAAGTAAACTTTTATTCAATTAAACTAGCATTTGTTATAGTAAAATAATCCGAGTGCATGGTACTTTGGTGGGAGATGAACAATGTCTTAATTGTTTTGGCATTTATCGTGCTTCAAACTCGCTGACGTTTGATCGTCAGATCGCGCACTCGTTATCACTCTGTGACATCCGTGTTGGGTGTGGGCACGCATTTCCTTTACATTGGAGGGTCGTGGTGCCGTGTAATTACAAGTGTCCGGCAATTTTGTGTCATCCCCACTTCCATTTCACATGTCAGTTTCATACAGATTATCAGTTACGTCTGATAATTCACCTAATTGCTCAACTTTTATCAGTCTGACCTGTCTTCGCAAAGTAATGCACACACAAATGTAAAACTTTTAATATTTTCCTGTCAAATCACAATTTTTTAATAATAAGATAATAAAATATAAAATATTTAAAATATCATTTCACGTTCCGCATCGAATGATCCATTTACAAATATTTTATTATCTTATTATTAAAAAAATTGTGATTTGACGGAAAATATTAAAATATTAACTTAATTCACAATATGACGCAAATATACTACCTTAAAAACTTTTAATGTTCAACACAACAGCAAACTGCTGAAACAAGGATAATGTGCCCACTAAACTTTAAAAAGAAGATTCGATCCTCCGTATCGATCATTGTTTTGTCTTTCATATTAATGTTGATGGACATTAGAGGTGATGCATGTTCCTATAAAAGTATTTACCATAATTAAAATACAGTGTGAATTAGATTTTAAAGGGTCATCAGCCCTTGGATTATTTATTTTTGTTTTGCAGCAAAATCATCAACCATTCATGCCCAGACACGATCGACGAACGTGCAATCAACAAAAAGAACCTGACTCTGTATACAAAACATGAAAATTTAACCCTTGCCTTGGTCTCGTCACAAGCCATCGGATGTAACATAGTTAACATTGACGCTCACGATTTAGCAAAAGGAAAACCACATCTGGTTTTGGGTCTTCTTTGGCAGATCATTAGGGTAAGTAATCTTTGATGTCAAGATGGCACACTGTTTTGGTCTTCAGAACTTGTTAGTTCACTTGGGTCACCCAAGAAAATGATAATGCATTTATGCGCTGTCATACTTATCACGGCTGTAGTTTCAGACACGAATGTGATCATTTTAGTCAGTCAGTGCTTAAAATAATTGGTAGTTGATATGAACTTAACATTATTAATGTTAAAGTGTCCTGCGTCATTTGTTGAAATGTTTTTGCATCGTATTATTTCAATCAGTCCTCCGTTGTTGGTGCTCTTTTGTTAGCCGCGTCCCTTCTTCAAGAGACGAAGCTGCGGGCGAAATTGGCATTTTAAAATTTTTAATACTCTGGTGAGTGATAATAAGTCCTGAAGAAATTATGTGTCTTGTAAATTATCTGTCGTTATATACAACGGTGCCTGGAATCTCGCAAGGGAAGTATTCTTAAGTACCGCGTTCGCTACTCAAGTGTACGAGTTGATATATTTATATGTTAGAATTTGTGGATAACATCTTTTGCATAAAGACTGGCCGCATGTGCGGATCCGTCGGGAAGAAACTTGCAGGAAGGTTTATCACTACGTAATTATGAGTCTGTGTGGTCACATGTTAAGTTCCCTGTTACCGTTACTTATCTGTGAAGTTGTACTTTCCTTAATGTACTGAACGTGACTGTCCATATTAATAAATAAGCATAATTTAAAATCACTTTGTTACCAGAATCGAAATTTAGCGTTGCTGAGCAAAAACAAAGCGTGTATCTCCCATTTAAACTTTTGTGTTTACAGTTTTGTAGAGTTAAAAGAGTTCATTGGGGGCTGCCCTAAAAATCATACTCCTTAGGGTTGTTGTTGTTGTTTGTTTCTGTGGAAGTCATTAACATCTCATTTAATTTAAAAAAAAAAATTACAGATGTGCCTAGAACTGAAATCAAATGAAGTGGCTAGCAAATTTAAACAGTTAGTGTCCAAGAAAGAGAACTTGGAAACGCTCGGCGGAATGTCAGACGCGTCCAGCGAAGGCACCACGCATTCGGTACGACTCGAGGAGCAGCTGGCCTTTTCCGATTGGGTCAACAGTAATCTGCGTGCAGATCCCGACCTGAAGCATCTCCTGCCGATTGATTCAGAAGGGAAAGCTCTGTACGACAAAGTGAAGGATGGCATTCTTCTCTGGTGAGATCTGTTTGTGGAATTTGAGGTCCCTCGTATGAGATTTTAAGGGAAACGGGCATCTACGTTTGCAAATTGCAAAGCCTCGGGAAGAATCTGTCCTTGGCACAGATTTGTTGTTAGAGCCTGAAATGTTTCACAGCCCTTTATAAATCTCTGTAGAACGTTACTTTGAAACACTTTTGTTACATTTGCTGCACAAAAATATATATAAATATTATATTTACTAGACGATGGATAATATCCAAGTAAACTTTTATTCAATTAAACTAGCATTTGTTATAGTAAAATAATCCGAGTGCATGGTACTTTGGTGGGAGATGAACAATGTCTTAATTGTTTTGGCATTTATCGTGCTTCAAACTCGCTGACGTTTGATCGTCAGATCGCGCACTCGTTATCACTCTGTGACATCCGTGTTGGGTGTGGGCACGCATTTCCTTTACATTGGAGGGTCGTGGTGCCGTGTAATTACAAGTGTCCGGCAATTTTGTGTCATCCCCACTTCCATTTCACATGTCAGTTTCATACAGATTATCAGTTACGTCTGATAATTCACCTAATTGCTCAACTTTTATCAGTCTGACCTGTCTTCGCAAAGTAATGCACACACAAATGTAAAACTTTTAATATTTTCCTGTCAAATCACAATTTTTTAATAATAAGATAATAAAATATAAAATATTTAAAATATCATTTCACGTTCCGCATCGAATGATCCATTTACAAATATTTTATTATCTTATTATTAAAAAAATTGTGATTTGACGGAAAATATTAAAATATTAACTTAATTCACAATATGACGCAAATATACTACCTTAAAAACTTTTAATGTTCAACACAACAGCAAACTGCTGAAACAAGGATAATGTGCCCACTAAACTTTAAAAAGAAGATTCGATCCTCCGTATCGATCATTGTTTTGTCTTTCATATTAATGTTGATGGACATTAGAGGTGATGCATGTTCCTATAAAAGTATTTACCATAATTAAAATACAGTGTGAATTAGATTTTAAAGGGTCATCAGCCCTTGGATTATTTATTTTTGTTTTGCAGCAAAATCATCAACCATTCATGCCCAGACACGATCGACGAACGTGCAATCAACAAAAAGAACCTGACTCTGTATACAAAACATGAAAATTTAACCCTTGCCTTGGTCTCGTCACAAGCCATCGGATGTAACATAGTTAACATTGACGCTCACGATTTAGCAAAAGGAAAACCACATCTGGTTTTGGGTCTTCTTTGGCAGATCATTAGGGTAAGTAATCTTTGATGTCAAGATGGCACACTGTTTTGGTCTTCAGAACTTGTTAGTTCACTTGGGTCACCCAAGAAAATGATAATGCATTTATGCGCTGTCATACTTATCACGGCTGTAGTTTCAGACACGAATGTGATCATTTTAGTCAGTCAGTGCTTAAAATAATTGGTAGTTGATATGAACTTAACATTATTAATGTTAAAGTGTCCTGCGTCATTTGTTGAAATGTTTTTGCATCGTATTATTTCAATCAGTCCTCCGTTGTTGGTGCTCTTTTGTTAGCCGCGTCCCTTCTTCAAGAGACGAAGCTGCGGGCGAAATTGGCATTTTAAAATTTTTAATACTCTGGTGAGTGATAATAAGTCCTGAAGAAATTATGTGTCTTGTAAATTATCTGTCGTTATATACAACGGTGCCTGGAATCTCGCAAGGGAAGTATTCTTAAGTACCGCGTTCGCTACTCAAGTGTACGAGTTGATATATTTATATGTTAGAATTTGTGGATAACATCTTTTGCATAAAGACTGGCCGCATGTGCGGATCCGTCGGGAAGAAACTTGCAGGAAGGTTTATCACTACGTAATTATGAGTCTGTGTGGTCACATGTTAAGTTCCCTGTTACCGTTACTTATCTGTGAAGTTGTACTTTCCTTAATGTACTGAACGTGACTGTCCATATTAATAAATAAGCATAATTTAAAATCACTTTGTTACCAGAATCGAAATTTAGCGTTGCTGAGCAAAAACAAAGCGTGTATCTCCCATTTAAACTTTTGTGTTTACAGTTTTGTAGAGTTAAAAGAGTTCATTGGGGGCTGCCCTAAAAATCATACTCCTTAGGGTTGTTGTTGTTGTTTGTTTGTTTGTTTTTTTTTTTTTTTTTGTTTTTTTTTATTTTATTTTATTTTATTACAATTAGTAATACTGACAAAGTTGTGAGATGATTACCGCTAATGTCGCTTGACATGTGGTTATAGATTTTCAGAAAATACAAAAGTTTGGTTTAATAATTCTTTGTACAACATGGCAGCTGCATGAGAAAAGAATTTTTGAGTCCTGTGAAGCATTTTACGATGCCAAAATTGATTTACTGCGCTTAAAGAAGATTCTGATAACATGCGATTTGTATAATTTGAAGCTGGAGTTGTAAGACAGGTGGTGTAATCATTTATTAACAGTTCAGAATTTGCAAAGAACGCGTATGCGTATTCCAGTTTGGAACGCATCTTTTTGACATCTACACGAAGTCACGTCTTTGTAGCGTTAGTGTTAAAGAATACTTATAAAATATTTACAGAACTGTTTTTGCTCGTAGAATTGAAGGGCCGTCAGAAACGTTGATGATTTTTGCAAATCCCTTTTCATGTTTTGTGAGTGCAGTATTGTTTAACAAATATAAGATTTGAGGTTTTCGCAGCGGTGAGTATGAAGATTTCCGTATTCTGGGTTGTTGCGCTGTGTAGTCTGGTCGATGTTAACCAACGTTTCAGAGGTCTTACTGCCTCCGTCATCAGGGCGATGAAGATTTCTGTCTTCTGGGTTGTTGTGCTGTGTAGTCTGGTCGATGTTAACCGACGTTTCAGAGGTCATACTGCCTCCGTCATCAGGGCGTGATGACGGAGGCAGTATGACCTCTGAAACGTTGGTGGACATCGACCTGTCTACACAGCACAACAACCCAGAAGACAGAAATCTTCTTGTTTAACAAATGCTTGTCTTGAATTGTATGTGAACATTCTTCGTTAATACGATGAAAGAGTTGTACTAAAGGAACGGTGGTTTCATGGAGTTAACTGCGCTGCCTTTTTGATTGTGTGTCGTGTTAATGTGTAAAATTGTATTTCAGATAGGACTGTTCAATCAAATCACTCTGGAGAACTGTCCTGGATTAACCACTCTTTTGTTGGACGGGGAGCGCATCGAAGATTTAATGAAACTCTCGCCAGAAGCGATACTGTTAAGATGGGTTAACCATCATCTGGAAAGGGCTGGTGTAGCCAGGTAAGGTGCCTCAGCTGCTGTCAGAATTAGTGAATTCTGTTTATTGTCAACAGAGCTTGTGTGTGTAAGTGAATTCTTATATTCCAGGCGGTGCAATAACTTCCAAAATGACATCTCAGACTCCGAAATTTACTCGCACCTGCTGAAACAAATAGCGCCAGCAGAGAGTAATGTTACATTAGAAGCTCTTTTGGTAAGTAATTGAAAATAATTTATAAATATATCAGTACAGGAAGAAGCAGAGTGGAACATTCGGCAGTTTCGTGGGGGTTTTGTGACTCGTGTATATCAACGTGTTAAAAACCTAGTTTCGTGGATGTGGAGTCAGACACTGCTAACAAAATTTAAAAAACATTTTTCATAATATTTTCTGGAGTAGTCACAAAAACAAATGTCTGTTAATTCGCACAAAGGAACTCGGTGCACAGTGAACTGTTTTATGTCGGGTCGCGTTCTCCGTATGCAGTGATGTGCTGCGTGCAGCAGGCATTATACTTCAAGGAAAATCATTCATAAGGTTAGAAATTGTCTGATATACGCTCTGTTTGTATGCCCGTATGTTACCTCGTGATTTGTAAAGCGTTCGCTTTTGACCAATCTTTCGATGTGTGGTCAGCTCTGACCCTGCTAAGGAATGATTTGAAAGAATCCACAAAAGAATTTTGTTTACTGAGATAATTTGTGATGAGTCTAGCAGATTTATAATAATCATATTACGTCTTTGTTCTTCAATAGAAATATAAACAAAAGTAAGCAGTTTGAGAGAGTTCCTTCTCACCATTTGCATTTGTTCATGTATGTGTATCGGTGGAACATTTGTTAAATCCGTTCCAGTTTTCCCAGTGCATGTTCTTGCACATTATACTAACAATTAATCGAAGTGCAGTCTTTTATTGTGTAACACTTATCTTTTTGAAGATTTCCGTCTTCTGGGTTGTTGCGCCGCGTAGTCTGGTCGATGTTAACCAACGTTTCAATATTTAAAATTTACAATAAGATAATTAAAAAAAGGAAGATATTCCTTTTTTTAATTATCTTATTGTAAATTTTAAATATTTTAAATATAATTGTGATTAGACGGACAAACCGAATAATTAATTGAATAGTTTTAAAGTAATGTTTGTTGCTAAGTTAATTAATGGTATCTTAGGAACAAAATCACTTGAACAGAGCTGAAATAATGTTGCAACAAGCTGCTAAGTTGGGTTGCCGAAGCTTCGTGACGCCTAGTGATGTCATCAATGGGATTTACAAACTAAACTTGGCATTTGTTGCCAATCTGTTCAACAACCATCCAGGCCTAGACCGTCCTGAGGGCGACATCGAAGGGCTCGAGAATCTTGAAGAGACAAGAGAAGAGAAGAGTAAGTCACTCACCCGTTTGTATTGCTGTCATGTATGTAGTCTTGGTTAACATTTGAATCACTCTGTTTACGTCAGCTAACGCTTTATTATAACCAGACGTATTATACGATTTTATTTATGTTGATAACGTGTGCTGTTACGATTCTTCTCGTTATCTTGCAGCATACAGAAACTGGATGAATTCGATGGGAGTGCTTCCATATATAAATTGGCTGTATTCAGATCTTGCAGATGGCCTTGTGATCTTCCAGTTGTATGATATAATCAAACCAGGCATTGTCAATTGGAACAGGGTACACAAGTAAGCACCCAGTTTCCCCTCCTTGTTTCCGTATTTCAGTAATAATTGAATTCGGTTGAATCGTTGAATTTGTCGAGAGAGAAGTGAATGCCGTTCTAAATAATCGCTCCTTCCAACCCGCAGGAAATTCTCGAAGCTACGAAAATTCATGGAGAAACTAGAAAACTGCAATTACGCTGTTGAACTTGGCAAACAATTGAAGTTTTCGCTGGTTGGAATTGCGGGTCAAGATATTAATGACGGGAATGCCACGCTAACTCTAGGTAGGTTTTTAGTGTGATTGGTCGTTTTGTTTTGTGCCACATTGTGTAGGAGCAACTAGACAGAATTCTGCATGGGCTTTTTAAACATGATGAGAGTTGTATTTGACGTTTTCACAGCAGTGAGCGCAAAGATGGCTGTCCTCTGGGTTGTAATGCTGTGTAGTCTGGTAGAGAAATTTACCAGTTTTTCAGAGATCCTTGCTGCCTTTACAATCAGGGTGACGAGTGAGCCGTGTGTGTGGAATTAGTTTTGAGTTGCGGGATCTGATCTCACGATAAGAGTTCTGCTTCAGGTGTATATAACACTTCACACTTCTGAATGGTTTGTTATTAAAAGAATGAAATTTTTGAATGAAATAATTTTTATTTTAGGTGATAAATGACGCGTTTTAAATTTGTTAATACGTAGCGACTGATGCTTTGGCACTTCGGTATTTTTGTGACCGGTATTTCTGATTTCGAACTGTGTGTTACAGTTCTTTCTTTTCTTTTCTTTTTTTCCAGCATTGATCTGGCAGTTGATGAGAGCGTACACACTTTCAATATTAACGCAGTTAGCCAACACAGGAAGTCCCATAGTAGAGAAAGAGATAGTTACGTGGGTAAATAATAAACTTGCCAATTCTCAAAAGAAGAGCTCGTTGAAGAGTTTCCAAGTAAGTGGTTTCACATTCCTACAGTGTATTAAATTAGTTCATAGTTGCTCTTTTTAAATGACGTGTACTCAGCCGTCGTAATCCATGTACTCCGTTATCTGTTACTCAGGATTCGTCTATAGCAGATGCTAAAGTTGTCATTGACCTGATAGATGCAATTAAACCTGGAACTATCAACTATGAACTGGTGAAGGACGGTGGACCTCAAGAGGTGAGTTACGTCATGGCTTAGCCTACCTTTCTTTTTCCCTGGCAAATAACAGATAGCTTGTATAATATTACTTTAATGGGACACAACTATTGCAGATTTGTGACTTGTACCTGCCTAATCAATGGTTTGGATAATAAATTGTGTAAAATCATATTTTACTCTTTCATCTTATTTAATATCTCGTACTTAGTCGAAAAGCGTTTCGAACGAAAGGTCTGAGTGTATTTTTTTATGAGCTGTTTTTGAGGGAATTTAATAAAGTTTGATTTGAGATTAATGTGAAGTAGAGATCAAAATGATAACCTAACGTGACTTAGCGTTGATCTCCTAGTACAGAATTCTATTCAGTGTCTTAGAGCTGTCATGAATGTGACATAGGCAGTAAGCATTTCATATAAAGAGCATGTGAATTGTGTAAAAGTTTTGTGCGTGGTTTGATCTGACTTTATGAACTGTTTGTTCCAGGATAACCTGGCAAATGCAAAATACGCTATTTCAATGGCCAGGAAAATGGGGGCTCGGGTGTATGCCCTTCCAGAAGATATCACTGAAGTTAAACCAAAAATGGTCATGACGGTATTTGCGTGCCTCATGGCCATGGATTACATTCCAAATATGGATGAAAAGCAATTGTAAAGCTACATTGATTCATTACTTTCCATTTATACATAGATACTTTGAAAGGTTTTTTTTTTTATTTTGAATATAATATTAATATTATATATTATTATGAACATTATATACTTGGTTTGCTTATGTGATTAGAAATTAAATAAGTTTACTACTGAAGCATTCCATATATTAATAAAATCATTGTGAAATTCAAAGAAAACTTCAAAGATAGTTGTCAGCTTTCCATCGAGAAATCATACGCGGTAAAGATGCGTAACTTTGATCGAATATTTAACGAAAGAACACTCGCAAGTTCAAGGGTCCTCAGTTTGTCTGTTGTGAGTGTTCTTTCTTGTCTCTATCTCTTTTTTCTGTCCGTCATTTAAAAAGAATTGAATGTGTAATTGGTTATACAGTTTAAACAAAATGTTTGATTGCTTGGAAGGTTTATGAAGGACGGCTCACGATACAGTAACCTAAATGATATTGGGGAAACCTCGGAATTGTCTAACGAAGTTAGTGACGTTAAATATACGATATTATCGATGGCTACTCTCTTGTGGAAGTAACGACAGTAGAATTATTCCAGATTCACTAGCGGAAGTTGTAAAGAATCCTAAGGTGTTTAAACGTGGTTGTTGTGCAGTCTCCACAGTTATATTTTATACTTGTAGTAGCAAGGGCACATATTAAAATTTCGTCATTGAAATGAGTGAAGTGGCTTGTCTTTCAGACTAAGGTGTTGGAACAGAAGAATAATAATGACTTGGATATTTAAATTACAACATTACTGTTGCGCTGGTATTACCATACTGTAATTGAAGTGCTGTGTGACAACTTTGTGTTTGTATCATCATACAGTTAACGTAACGTGTGATAAATATATTAAGACTGAACTTTTTTCCCCCATTTTTTAAGAAAATGAGGAAGCAGTAGTTTGTTTTTTTTAGTTTTCCATTTTTTAAGAAAATGAGTAAGCAGTAGTTTTTTTTTACAGTGTGAAATTGACCAATTTTTTTAAAAAAATAATAATAATTGCATTCCAGTTTGTTCCAACAAAAATTTAAGATATAATGTGCAGATGACAGCCAGCGTACAAGACAGGCATTTATTTATAATTTTTAAATACAGTAACGCCATTCCAAGTGTGCCTATGGCTTCTTCCCCATTCTCAGAATAGGAAACATTCCGTATATTTCAGGCAGAGACATTTTTGTGTGTTCGGGATGTTATTTAATTACTGATGGTGGACAGAAGTATTCCGGTGCGTGACGTGTCGTGAGCGCACGGTGAATTTGTTGTAATTTGTATTTTGTTTCATGTATGTGTAATTGTGTAAATAGCCTTGTCCCGTGTAGAATACAATTCTGCGTATCTGTTCCATCACTTTTCGCGCAGACTTCCAGTAATTGTGCCACGATTTAAGAATCATCTTCTTATGCATTATGTTTCAAAATAAGACATCATGCGCTTAAATCATTTAACTACACCTGTTGATTAACTTGTTTATAATTTTCCAAGCTTTCGAATATTTTGGTGGACTCTTGATTAGGTGAGATGAAAATGGAGCCAGATCCCTCTATGATGGGGTGTGTTACCATTGGTCAGAAATGTTTCGAGCCTTTGTAAATATAGAGCTTATTCTGCAATCATATTGAAGTTTTATTATTACTATTATTATTATGTTTATTTTGATTATTTAAATATCAGTATGAAAAACATTCCTTTTTTTGTTTGTCTTAAAATGATTCAAAATGGGTGTATAAAAGGTAATAATTAAATATTTCTTTTATATTGTTGCCACTTGTCTTGAATACTACAAAATATACATCATGAAACTTTCTTGGTGTCTGCAGAGTTTTGTTGACCTTCGTCGACCATGTGTCGTGGCTTACGTGCAGTCCCGCTGACTGCGCTGCACACTAGCATGCCATTAAACTGTTCGCCAGGTTTGTTTATAACATCAGCAGCGGAGTGAACTTTAAAACCATCAAGTTTTCCTAATGCTCATTAACAAATTTCACACACATTAGTTAGTATTTTCTAATTTTTTTATTAATCTTAATCAAATTTCCCTCCAGTAGGGGTACAGCTTTCTTATTGCTATTTCCAATGGACTTATTTTGTAAAACACACATAATTTATAGCCCTCTTTATCGTTTAATAATATTTTCATATTTCTCAACAAAAAATATCCTTTGCTACTGTCGTGTGTTAGAATGTTTGTATAATATATTCATCAATTATATAATTGATGAATATATTGAGGAAGCACCCTTGTTCTGCTTTCAGATTTAATTATCAGTGATACTCTCTGAAGTTCCCAGATGGCATTTGATGGGCCTCCAAAACTTTATTAATGTATCACTGATATACAGATTCATTTTCATAAAGAATTAGGGAAAATTTATAAATTAGCATAATTCATACCACAACATAAAATATTTGCCAAATTATTTGTAACATGTAAATATAAGAAATAAAGGATACACAAGTCCCTCAACTTATCCTGTGCTGTGACGTTATGATCTTGTACTAGATCACATCTTTCCTTGAAATGGATTTATTTAAAGTTAATAGATCTAAAGACAGAACGCTGTGTGTACACTAGGAATATCAGTTTTAAGCGTCGAAATATTTGGAATTCATCGCTGCAAGGAACAAATACTGCAAAACCCTGATAAAATGCCTATTAATAAACTGTGGACACTACGCATCAGCGTCTTCATTATCATTATTAATACATATTAAATCAGGTTATAAAATAATTTCAGTTATAAGTATATTAGAATTTTGATTTTTTACAAAACTACTTTCAAGGTTTCATTAAATGGGTCCTGTTTTAAGATTTGATGGGTAAGTGCATGTACACTGAGAAGTTGCAGGTGTGCTGTTGCAAAATACTGTGGCCCATTCTTTTTTTTTCTTTTTTTGGAAAATAAATGGTAACACTCGCGGAGGAATCAGAAAAACGAAAAAGCAGGCAACTTGATTTCCATTCATTTCATCTAATTTACATGTTTGAAATTTATGATATTAGGCTCTGCAAATATTAACCTCAACTTGCTGTTTACTTATAGAATAGTTTATTTAATTGAAACAAAAATGCCATATTAAACTTTAATTATTTCAGGCAGAAATGTCACAGAAGTCGAACATACTCCAATTAATGCTAAATTGTAATTGGTGTTCAGAAGAGCGCAGCTGATAGAATTACGTGATGGAGAACATGGACATTGCTTTATTGCATTTAGTTTTGTGTAGGCTGTGAGATTTTTTTAAGGATCCATTTCTTTATTATACATTTTAAATATAATACGTTGTGGTAGCGAATGACCTTGTGATGGCGTTAAGTACCTATGAAATTGTGAAAATATATCGCAGACAGTAACATCTGTTTTTTGCAAGAGATTGTGGTATTAATGTATGGTAAGATATGGATTTTTTTGTATCTAGTGCAGGCTTCAATATTAAATTACAAATTAATTTGTATCAATATTGAGGAAGGATTGGAATTAAAGTTGTGTAAAAATGTTGTATGTGCCCCTAATGTCTGGGGTTCCATGATGACTTGCCATTAAAATGTGGACCCGTAATGCACGATTTGTATCGAGTTTCTCCACGTGTGGCTGGATTAGTACTATAATATTAATATGTTTTCAAATCTCACTTTAATTGGTGTAACAAACTTCATCTCCTAGCAGTTTTCATTTTGTACTTTCTTTAATGGCTGAGGGTAGTTAAGGACTTATTTTTGTTGTGGTTATTCCATTGTTTTGTGAGTTTGTAGGAAAGAAATGTATACTAAGTAAACAATCTTCACATAATCGAAAAATCTCCAAGATAAGAAAATGAATCAGAGTCTACAGTATTTTGTAAAACTTTTTCTTGTAGTCTGTAAAAGGCGTACGCTACCATGAAACCTTTTGTTTACATCTGAAACATTACCTCGATCCCTACAGTGGATAATCGGAGGAAATTTTGGACTGTTAAACTTCAGTTAACGGCAGTGTTTGTTTGTTATGTTGAGTTATGTCCAACTATTTGTAATTTTTAATGGAAACTCATCTTGATTTCTGTTTTCTAACCAGTTATGCTGTATTCTTAGGTTAATATTTTTGAGTCTTGATGGTATATCTTGTAGGAGCAGAGCTTATAGTGTTGAACGAAACGCGTCGTTGGTTGTGGTCTGCCGTACCGTCCATTGTGCCGAAATCATGATACATGATGGAAGTTGACCCCTTTGTGAGTTGGTATACCTTTTGTTTCTTCTGTGACAGTATTCGCCAATGTATTCAGTTTAACATTATACATACAGTCATCTGTCGCCGTACGTGATATAGGACTAATGCTTGTGTGTATTGTATTCCGCGTAGGCTGCGTTTAATGACGTTATTCAGCAAGGTATATGAATTTAAGGTGTCTCTAGTATGTATTAATTATAGAGTAAGTAAAATAACTGCATTGAAACTTAAAAGGAGTGTTTGATGGAAAATGTAGCATTTTATACAAATTTTATACAAGAATTAATTCCGCTGTATGCCATATAAGATTTTTAATGTTGTGTATGTGTGAGATACCACTGTAGCGCAGCAAACTAACCAAAGAATTTGTAGTAGTGTCATTGTGTGTCAGAATCTGTGTTCATTAGTGGTGAAGGAGGCAGCGAACTGAGACGTAGAATCCTGTAGCGTATCGGTAGTGTAAAGAAAAAGGAAACTGATCATGTGCCTTGTTTTAAATACATTTTCTTTGGTGAAATATGGTTCGCTGGGAAAAATTATGCTGAGAATTTTGATACCATATCAAGATTTTACTTTGTTTCGTTTGTCTTTTCTTCGAGAATCTGGGGTTCGTATACTCTGTTCTGCTACTTTTGTCAGTCACAAATGAAAAATGTTTCGAAACACCATTCCTACATTCCAGAAGTACAGTTTTGATGAATTGGGGTGGATTTAGTGTGCGTCGTTAAAGTATGTGGAAATGAATGTTATTACAGAATTTTGAAATACAAATATGTAAAAGAACATGTATTTGCAAGTCACATTCAGAAAATGTGTTTCGGGAATAATAAACTAACATCCGCAAATACTTGTGTTAGCATCTATGTTGGGCTAACACGAAGGACGTGACGCTTGAACATAGAAGCTGAAACTGAATTTTATGGTGTACGAAGATAAAATATCATCTGTTTGATTTAAATTGATTGTGGAATGCAAAGTTTCAAAAGAATGCTAATTCATGGAAGTATGTACATATCACTTTTCTCTAGTTTAATTACTCTTAATAATGATAAACTTTTTTTTTTGTTTGATTGTAAATTGTGTGTGACATAATTAGTACTGGAGGGGTAAAATGTGCAATTATCAGAGTTCTTTCTTTTCTTAAATAATTTGTGTGGTATTTGTTTAATGTGTTATATCTTATAGTCTCTTGAAAAATGTTCTAATGCTTGCTTTACTGTTCACTTGCCATTACGACAACTTTATAGTGCTGAAAATTATGTATTTTTAACATTCTAGTGATCAGCATAAAATACATGATTGTAATTAGAGACATTTGGCAACTCCATTTTATATCCACCTCTAATTTGCCTTTTCCCTTTTGTCTTTAGTTGCAACTTCCACCGATTTTATTTTTCTTATTTATCTTGGTTTACAAAATTGCAACAGTATTGATTAATGATGGTAACCAGTACTGACCGAGAAACATACAAATACGTTAATTGCTTTATAATTTAAATTCTCGGCTGTTTTGAAGCGCCACATGAACATTTTTCTCAGGAAGGTGAAACTTAATTGATTCTTAACTTTATTATATTGCTTCAAAATTAGCACTTCTTTCAAACAGACTTGCTCAAGGTCAGACTTCGGTTAATTTGTAGCGTGTACACGCTCCTTCAGGCTGTCTTATGCGAGTTACAAATCTGTCCCAATTTTATTTCTAGTGCAATATGTAGATATGTATGAAAGTGAGGTTAGTGTAAAATACAGCCTTCTTCCATGAAAGTTTGGAGATTTGTAGAAACTACTTGAAATGACTGTTCAGCATTGTTGGTCCTTGACATGTGCCGAAGTAGTGTCATTAATTGGGTAAACAAATGTAATTTGTGTTTTATTATTGCTTGTAAACTGAAAAATAACGTGTTTTAAAGTCAACAGAAAATGTCTTCTTGGAAATACAATTTAAAACTATTCTTGCCATAGGAAGGTTTCACATAATAATTTACCTATATGTCGAAGATGGCTGTCTTCTGGGTTGTAGCGCAGTCCTTGCTGCCTCCATCATCAGGGCGATGATGATGGAGGCAGCAAGAACCTCCTAAAATTGCATCAAATTCGTTGACTCGTTGCTAAGAAGGTTAATTTCCTGATCCATTTCATCAGTTCCCTTACCACACCAGAATTTCCTGTTGTGAATAACCGGAAACCGCGTGAGGTCTGTGAATCGTAAGTGTAACATTACGCGGCTTTTAAACTCTGTAAATGTGAGCAGAAACTCGATCGATAATCCTGAGTGAAAGTTACTTGAAGCTATGCGACGCGGTGACTTCTGCAACGCCAAACTGTTCATTGTTGTTATTTATTGCCAGTGTTGTTTCAATAAATGTGTGACCGATTAATTGAGTAACCGGTTCGTAAGATAACTTACATCAAAAGTAGCTGTAGTTCAGGATGACCCCTCTAAATACGTGGTTTAGCCTTTTGACGCGGGGGGGGGGGGGGGGGGTTTTTTTGTATTGTCAGGCTGAAAGCAATGCAACCTTAACAATTACTACGCGTCGAAGCATGAAATGAGGAGGTTACGAGCGCAGTCAAGGGAGAAGCGATGGGGAAAACCCAGGTGGAAAACGCAACAACTCTCACGCCTCTCTTTCTTGGTACTGCAGCAATGGAAACCGTCCAGCTTTCTTGTTCGTCTCTCCGTGATTCATGTAGGTTTGTACGCCAGATGCATCTGCTGTTGCGTTGTGTATTTGGATTCGTTTCCATGAACTGAGGATTCGCACAGTCTGCGGCGTAAGCCAAGTTTCCTCTTTTATGAAGAACAGTGGGAAGGTTACAACTAACTCATCTGGGGCTTTTCAGTCCGAAGTATTTCTAATCTAGAGGATTTAAATCTAAAATATTTATAATCTAGAGGGTTCTGAATTCCGAAATATTTCTAATCTAGAGAGTTCTCAATTCCGAAATATTTCTAATCTAGATGGTTTCTTAAGTCCGAAGTATTTCTAATCTAGAGGGTTTCTAAAAAAGATTTAAGTCTAAAATATTTATAATCTAGAGGATTTAAGTCTAAAATATTTATAATCTAGAGGATTTAAGTCTAAAATATTTCTAATCTAGAGGGTTTGTTAAGTCCGAAGTATTTCTAATCTAGAGAGTTTCTCAAGTCCGAGATATTTCTAATCTAGAGGATTTAAGTCTAAAATATTTATAATCTAGAGGATTTAAGTCTAAAATATTTATAATCTAGAGGATTTAAGTCTAAAATATTTATAATCTAGAGGATTTAAGTCTAAAATATTTCTAATCTAGAGCTTTTCAGTTCGAAGCTGTTATAATTTAGACTGTTTCAGCCACAAAATAAAATTGTCATGGGACACAAAAGATTCTGCATTCGACCCCGTCGAAGTTGATTCGAGATGTTTGTCCTACCTAGTAGTTAAAAGTCACAGGAAAATTGTCTTGAGGTATGTCGGTGGTAAAAAAAATAAATCCCGGTCTTATACTGGAATAACTGGTTCTTCAAGGTTTTCCTTGCAGTCTGACAATAGTGCGAGCCTTGCTGTCCTCCTACACATCGTGATCAGCCCTAAGGAAGCTTCAATCACCATCAAAGTGTCAATTAACGTGCACTCACTTTCACAGCCTAGAAATGTTTCCGTTCGTTTATAAGAAGCAGGAGAGTACTTTGGGGGTCTTTCTAGGTCAGAGGCTGTTAAATAATGCTTGGAAATCTTTGACGAACACAAGCCATTTCACCTTTCTCTTAGCTTCATTTCTTCGAACGCTGAATCAGGCCGCTCGGGACATTTCTTACTCATTAATCTCGACGTTATGTAGAATTTTATATTTTAACGTCGAAAAATGCTTTCCGAACGTAACTCTAGACCGCTTGTTACATGACGTCATGCGATTATTTGTGCATGTTTACCGCAAACAGAATTACTATTTTCTGTAATCGTGCGGGACGTCTCGACGGTTGAGGACATCCCGTGTTTAAGCGCGGTTTTAAGACAAGGCCGTGGTCTGGTGTCTCTGCAAAAACTACGTACTACTATACTTCTATCACTGAGGTCGTCAACAACATACAAATCCTTTCAAGAAGATAAAACTTCTCCGAACTCTTATGTCGCGCGGTAATCGTTCTGAGAACAACGAGATACTCGCACTTACTGCGTACTAATACGCCACGTACTAAAAGGAATTGTGTGAATTTTTGACTAAATAAAACATATGTTCTGGTATTTGGACTCAACAAAGTCCACACATTCACAATCTACTTGCAAATAGAAGTGACACATTTTTCAAGAGTTCTTCTCGCCAAAAAATTCTGCATGCATTTCCCTCTCATCTCTGTAACTCGTCGTAATATTCTTTATTAAACTTTCTGATAACACCAAAGACTTTAAATTTACCAGTCGATCTCGAATAAATATGGTCCTGAACCAACCCCAGGTATAATAACGAGATTGAAATCTAGCAGTCTGAGCTATTTTTTTCGATAAGACAACATTCATGTCCAAGTATCGGCTAAGGGCTTTGTACTTCTAGATTTTCCATTCCCCCAAATGATAGGACTGTACACATATTTACAATATTTTCGTCATTATCATTATCGGATATAATGCAATTAAATGTACTCTTCATCACTGGACTTCGACCGACGAACGAAGACTGAATTGGGCCTGAAAAGGATGTAAGTTACAGGAAAATGGTTAAAAACTACAGACCGCCGGGACCGGAAACGGAAATCCAGTCAGCTTTGTACTTTGAATTGTCTGTTTACGTCAGTCAGACATTCACTGCTCAGTGTTGTTCTTTTGTTAATAATTATTGTGGACTTCGACCATCTGTGCCACGCGTTAACGTTTGTACATTTTCTCGGGTCCTTGTGTCGAACGCAAGTCTTCATAGTCTTATTCGATTTCACAAACTGAATTGTACTACGTCTTATGACAACTGATTTACTTCAACCAAAAGTCCTGTAAAAAAAATCTTAATTATTAGCCATAACAATAGCACAGCATTTTACATTTAAATGCTCCAAACAAATACTATCTATTCAGTTCTGGATATCGACACTTAAGTTTAAGCTACTTTCTTTGAACGGGAAATTCCCACACTCAAAATTTTACACCTTTGGCATTAACGATTCGTCTTTATTTATTTTTTTTTACCGTAGTTGGACTCATTCAGAAATCCGAAGATACATTCGTGTGCACTGCGCGAACCATCTTTCAGTCGAAATCACGTGACGTCATGCGCAGAGGTTGGGTATCCTGACCGCGTAATTGTAGTTGCGTCTTTCACCACGGGAAGGGGAGACCCGGTGTTAACCAGGAAATGTGGACACATGATTGGTTATATAGGAGCAGAAATCGCCAAGACGAATCAGAAGTGATTCGGTACGAAGGTGTGAACTGTATAAGCGGATACTCTGTTTTCAGAACAAAGACTTCTTTCATCGCATACACAAATGGTAAGTAACTCACGATGCACTTAGTAGAAGCGTGCAGACAGGTCCGTGCCGAGTCTGACCTTGCCATATGAGATTTGTGGCTTTCATGTGCGTACATTATAACATTTACCATAGATTAATTCCGAAGTCTTCTGTTGCAAGTGAACGTATTTGTCACCAAATTAATTACTGGTCCTTTGAAAAGATTCAAAATGAAACCAGAAGTAACTCGTTGTAAAAATGAAATTATTCGTAATTTAAAACGTGACATATATTTAACTTCCTTCTTTCAATTACGTCTTGTTGGACACTACAATCATTTGATTCTGTTTTTAAGCCTTTCTAGGACCGCGTAAAGCAATGGATGTAGCTTTTAAATGCCTAAGACAGAAATTATTACTAATGAACAATGACAGAAACACACGATTTACTGAGTCAGGAAGTGGGATTCAACGCAGTTTATCAGTATTTTGTTTGTGGTATTACGCTTCTGTCTTGCAATTGTTCTGTGATTCTTGGCGTGGCGTCTTGTTCGGATGTCCCGTTAAATATAGTAAACATGGCAGAGATACTCAAAGTTAATCCCTCTTGTTTACAGATGTTAATCGTCAGCGTCAGCTTACTCTTCATTGTTGGAACAGCAATGACTTTTCCACAAGCCTCCTTTTACGCAACAAACATCAAGGGAACTTACCCACAAATTCTGCCCCGATTTGGTGGTGATGACTCAGATATTGGTAATCGCCTTGGAGAAAATAATCCATCAACATCTGCAGCTGCTCCATCCGTCCCTCAGAGCGACGTCATTCATGATCCAGATATTGTGTCCCGAGTGGCGACATGGCCAAAGGATCGCCAGCCGTTCTGGTACATCAACTCCCAACACATCGACAGTCAGCGCCAACAGAATATTCCGTGCAGAAACTGTGTCAATCCAGAATCTCTTCAGCAACCCCTGCCACAGTCTCCATTTGCACGACGGAACTAAATTTTTACCATAAAATTCGCAGACTGAGTGCAAGAGTGCTTTCAAATGTGATGAAACCAAATGTTTGTCTAACCTTGTAATGTATATTGCCTTAATTCAATTCAACCAAAATTACTTGTATTGTAGTTTTGAATTGTGATTTGTACTTAACGCTTACGGCTTATACATAGTTCATCAAACATGCATTGCATTAACATAACCTAAATCATTGAACCCAGGTTTAAAATCTGGCATGGGGCTTATATCGCCTATTCCTGTACGATAAAGAAGATATGTGATATTATGTTACGTGAATAAATAATAAAATTCATTTTATGTTTAATATCATCATTGCATTACTCCTTCAGTTATATGAAGCCTTTTTACCTCCAGAAATACGTGTAGAGATATGCAGTAACACAGAAGTCTTATAATTTTCAAAAATTAGTCATGAATGACGAGTCTATGACATATAGACAAATGATTCTGAGCATGGAAACAAAACTGGAATGGTTTAATCTGCACCAGAATTCACACATGCAAATTGTAAATTATTAAACCCTCAACGATAAAGGACATTTAATTCTTACTTCCGGGGACGGAGGACATTTAAATATTAAAGCTAGAAAATGCAGAACTTCATTTGACTAGCAATAAAATCGAAAAAAAAAATTACGCTTGTAATTTTGAAATTATGTTCTGAGAAATGCATGGAATTGGAATGTTGAGAACAATATATTTTAAAATTAGTTTTGGCATATTAAAATTTCAGATGCATATTTATAGAACACAGCACAGCATTAATAAAGAATTGTAATTGTTTATTATGTGACTGGAAGCCTTTCACCATTTCCTGAGTCAAGATAATGCTTTAAATTCTGCCAACTCTTGTGGTTACAAATACCTAAGTGATGGCAGCACCGTAAGGACACTCCATCTAATGAATTTAGTTCACAAGAATTCCTTATGGTGGAGACAGGATCTGACCGTGATGTAGCGCACAAACCGGTCAGGCAGAGAACTAGAAATGAAAATGAAAGTGTATCAACACAAATACGAGATGAAAGCCCACAAATTCCTCTTCAATTACGTACCAAAAGAATTACTTTACATAAAAAAAAACAATTATTCAAAATGTAAGCTGGAACTTGCCTCTGCACTATGCACGGCGACATGTGATTTAAATCGCCGCGCGGTCAAGTTAAAACATTGTCTTCTTTCATGCACCGGCCATTCAGTCATTTTACGTTGTACAAAGAATTGTCATGTACAAATTTTGTATTTTCCGAAAATCTATTATCAAACATCATTGTGTGGCCCCACTGTTAATGGCGCTACTGTGGACAGCACCTCACACGTTTGTTCGTACGTCGTGTCCCACTAAATGTAGGAAATTATAAAACACAATTTTAGGAAAGTCCTCAATGGCACAACATCCATACTAAATTTCAGCCAAATCCGTACAGTAGTTCTCGAGTTGAATCATGCATACGGATAGATAGACATGACATGCGAAAAATGACAGACCGCCTTGCCTTTCTTTCAATTTTCCTTTATATGTAACGTCACTACGTGCACAACCATTTTTAACGCAGTATATGTTAGTTTGGCTGTGTATTTTGCCGCCTGATGAGTCACAGAAGAGTAATGAGCCCACAAAGAAAATCAGCTGCATTGTATAGGTTCTCTGTGTACATTATACATTGCCAGTAATCATTGGTTTGAAGAATTTGTTTTTTTATTTGTGATTGAAATCGAAGCCCAGTATATAATTTACGGATTATCGCAGTAAAAATTGTTTTATAATGGAAACCACAACCGTAATAATGATGTGTGAAGTTGGGTAGTGAGTTAAAATGAATTTAACTGGTAAGTTAGGTTATGTTTTGATTCTTGTACGTACATTTTTGATGTGCCCTACTTGTAACAAATCAAATACCAATTCAAACTTAACCACACAGTTTTTAAAGTTATTTATATACATATTTACAGCTTTAATAATTTCGAGTTAAAGAACATTCTACAGTGTGAAAGAGGGAAGTAAAAGATGCGCCTCTTAGTGCTGACTTGAATGCTTTCATGTCATGATTAAACTTTAATGTTGGAAGGAAACGTGTCAAATAATTTGATCCCTGCAATATAAGTACGTTTCTGATGATTAATGATATTAGAATTTAGCTTATGGAGGTTATGTTTAAGCCTTGTATTTGTACTATGTAGGTCAGAATTTTGGTTGTGAGGTAAGTATGTTTAGATACTTATTTGGAAGTTTACTAGCTCATTAGTTATACGGGCACTTTGCACCAAAGTCCATGCAGTATATTGTGTTTTTTTACAGATACACAAAGGAAAATGAATTTGTCAACAAATAATGAGATTAACAGTAGTGCTGCTACAAGTGGTAGTACTGGTAATAGCAGTGGGCACACACTGCCACGTACTTCTCATGGCACTAGCAGACGAACATCTACCAGGAGTGGGAATGTTACACAGAAACATTCATTGTGTGCATCTTCTACTTCCCATGGTACTACACTTGTTATAAGAATTGGAACATCGATGAACACTGACCAGTCATATGTATATATTTTTGAATAATTTTGATACAGCCTGTATTACTATATACTGCCTGTAAATTAGCTGTTATTATCATACCCGACGTCAGTACTGTTTTCAGAAGCATAGAAGTAAGAGTTTGGTTGTTAAATTATGAAAGACAATGCACAAAGTCTGGCTAATTCCAAACACTGTGAATTCAGTTTTAGTTTATCTGTTTCACTGTAGTGTCAGAAGTCTATAGAATTTAGTTGATCCACAGATGCTGGAGCCTAAGATGTGATTATGCTTTAACTTGAAGACAGACAAAAATAATGGGTTTTATGTAGGATGTTTGTTTCTTTTTATGCAGAACTCTGTAACTGAATAAGAAATGTTTAATTCATTTGAAGTGTAAAGAGTGCATGATCTGAAACTCTGCATATTAAAATATAAAAAAGTGGTTGTAAGTTGTAAACAGTACACAGAGCATTTATTAAGCAGTTAAGTTTCATGGTATTACATGTGATTGATATTAACAGATGAAAGACAGAAACTGCCACAGACTATCAAAATGCAGTGGGTGGAAGGAGCTGAGGAAATCGACAAAAGACATTCTGGATAGTCAGCCTCTGGTCTGGGATTGGAACCTGCTGCCTCCCATATATAAAGCACACTTGGCCATAATATTCAGTAGCTTATCAGTAGTCGTCAGATCACAGTACTAATTACTTTGTTTGAAACCATGTTTTTTTTGCATATTGAACAGATTCAACTGAGAAGTTTCTTCCGTCACCTTCTGGACCAGTAATTCAGCAACTTAAGAACTTATATTGCTGCAATATCCCAGATAACATGATGGACCGGAACCTCCTTCGTGCTCACTTCCAGCAGTTTGGCCATGTTGTTAGAATATATCTGTGTTTGAAGCGAAAAAGTTGTACTGTTCACTTTGAGAGCCACGTAAGTAACGTTTGACTTACATTTCCATTTGTTTCTCTCTACATTCAAAACAACCGTAAGTCCCTTCAAGAGAGTTTGCTAGTTTGCACATTGAAACATTTATTTTGTTAAAAATTCTCCCAACAGCTTGCTGCTGCGCTCGCTAAGCAGAAGGGCACAACAATGAAGGGCTCGTTGTTAACTATTTTCTGGAGCCAGCCAGCAAAGGGCCGAGGAAGATCAAAGGATCACGCCTCTACCTCACCATCAGATACTCCAGCAGAATCAAGAATAGTATCTGAGGCGACGATAAAAATGTCCCGCAGCTCAGAAAGTGATACTTTGCCAAAGCAAAGTACTGGAGAGAGCCATCCAAGGCACAGAATCTATAATGTAGAAAAAAGGATCAGAACTGCGAGTTCTTCGGTACCAGACAGAAACAGAATGAGAATGCGACATCTGCTTCACTCTAGAAAGCTTTGGACGTGAGGAAGGAAGACAGCGGAAAAGCTGTCGAAAATATATTTTCTTATCCTGTTGCTAGTAGAATGTACGAGATGCCTGACGAAGTCAAGGATGAACTAGATGTAATGGCTTGTAATGAAGTTGGTTTGAGGTTAGTACATATTCGTCTTTAGTGATGAAAGACCTGTTTAAGGTCCATCATTGCATTTGCTTCTGTATGTGATAATATGGCGCATTAACTGATATAGTTGGATGCAACTGTCACTACCCGGCTCCCAGCAGGAACTGCTGTAAGTTGATTTTGTTGTTTTTATGCGCTAATACTCGACTTATATCGAGGAAACCTTGCGGTTCTTGAGTGCGAGTCATGCAGACCTGTGATGTGGCATAAAGAACACCTTTTGTAATTTTAGTGTACACCTTTCCAAGCTTGTTTGGTTTAAGGCGCAATTTACGATATTTAGGTCTTTTTAATCGAAGTGCTGGCCCTAATTGGCCGTGGTCAACTGCTTTGTATTTTGGTTGCAAGTTGTAGTGTGGACTTTTGCATAAATTAAGTATATTATTGACGAGTTTAAAGACGTGGTCAGTTAAGCTTCTGAATGGAAGGACAGATGGGTGTTAATTTCTTATTTTACGTGCATGTGTTTTCATCAAGCGTTCTGGTTTTTCACATCTTTGTTATTCACAAGAAAAAAGTAATATCATACATGTATATATATTCTTTTCAGCGTGAGCGACAGTTCAGTAGTACCATTAGAATCGACAGCTTTAAGAATACCACGGCAGAGTTCCGCAGCTTTAACTACAAACAGTGGTAATTCTGTTTCTGATTTTTCTTCATCTTTGTCTTCAAAGACAAGGATAAGGAAATCTACTCCTGCACACCATCATCTGAGTGCTTTAAAAGAACTCATGGAAGTGTGGAACATCAAGTCAAATGAAGTTAACGACTCTGCGGAGGATAGGTACCAGCTGTTGGAGTTACGTGATAAAATACTGAGGCTAAGTAAGTGTTATGTTGAGTGCATTTAGTGTGGTGACTAGAAATAAAATAATTATGTAATGTAGGGTAAGTAATTTTTGTGCCATGTACGAGGCGCGTCCCAAAAGTAAGTTTCCCACTCGTCCCACAGCTAGCAAACCTTATATTGAGCGAAGCGACTGTGCGTACGTGATAGAGCAATGACGTAGCATGGCGCATGCACTAACGGCACTTCCCGCGTTCTCACAGTAGCATCGTTGCAGCTGTTGAAGATGGAGGTTCTTATTCCAGCCCCCGCCGACTGTGAAGTGCGGTCAGTGATAACGCTAGGCCGCACACGGCTCGACGGACAGCAAGTCTCCTGCAGAAGTTCAGCTGGGAGGTGTTTAATCATCCACCCTACAGCCCGGACCTCGCTCCCAGTGATTTCCATCTTTTCCTACACCTCAAGAAATTCCTGTCCGGTCAGCGTCAGCGTTTTGAGAATGACAGAGAGGCGGAGATGGCTGTCACACAGTGGTTCCAATCCCAGGCGGCAGACTTCTACGACACAGGTATTAAAAGTTGGTCCCACGGTACCTCGTATGAGTTATTGCTATGATCATTTAATATTAATCATCCGCCACATTCCGTTATTTTCCTCTGAATATTTTACCATATGTTGCACTGTTTATGTGATTTTGCCTTGACTACAGAAGTGTGCTGATCCATATTACAAAAGAGATTCAGTAAGAAGGGCAATATTGGAATGTTTAGTTGTGTGATTGGCAACACTGCTTAAGCCTGGTCATGCTTTAGCTCAAAGTCGGACGGTAACGTGCGATTTGTTCGGAATGTAAGTTTAATCTTTTTAATTGTAGAACGAGGCAAACAGTCTGACCTATCAACAGCAGTGGTTACTCGAGGAACATGCCCTGACATGTGTCCTGAAAAAGAGCGTTACCAAAGAGAGTCTAGGCATCAAGTAGCTTTGTATGAATACGATGCAAGTAAGGTAAGTATATAATATATTTACGTGAGAATTCTTAATATTACTTTCGAGAAGATGATATTGTCACTTGGCAGGTAATGCAGATTTTAGCCAGTTCAATGAATAATGTTTATTATGTAGTGATTATATGTAATATTCAATGATCAGAGTCCAAAATTTGTATTATTTAGATATTTTGTACATTCTTCAATATTATCTGGTCATGTTGAATATTATAAAACATCTTTCAGGAGGTTGTTATGGATCATGCACTTGCAGTGAAGCAATATTCTAGAAGTTCAGCAGATCAGGAGGAACCTCTTCCGCATGACTTAAGACCTCCTCATGTCCTGCGTATGACAATGGATTATCTTTTAGCAAAAGTCATGGATCGTTGTGACAATAAGGATGAAAACTTGGGTGACTGGTACCATTTCTTGTGGGATCGTACACGAGGGATAAGGAAGGTATGTGTTTATAAGCAGGCTTCAATTTATGTACCTAATTAACATTGTAACTTTGGCTGACATGTGGTAATTTTAAATTGGAATACTTTGTTCCCTCATTTTGCCAAATTTGAGAGTAGGGAATACGTAAGGAAAAATCTTAGTCTCACGTGGAAAGCAGAACATATGATGTTTAAGTTAGTTATTGTTATTTTCAGTACTTTCCCATATAATTATTTATTTCCTCTGTCTTCTGCATGGATATGATAATGTGCTCCGTAGAGGAGAGTCCTATTTGAGAAATTCAGAGTCACGAGATAATTGAGATATTACCTGCTCTTTATTAAACCTTGTGGTTCCTTGCCTTGTTTACAAGAGCATGTTACTGGTCTGTATTCTGAGTCAAATGAATTACATGGATATGATAGTATTTTTATAGCTGAAACATTCAAAAAGAATTTGTAGCTTAAATGCGTCATGTTTGTGCTTAATTCAGTAGTATATTTATTTATTTCCGTCAGTACACAAACTTAGTTGTTAAAATTGGTGTTATTAAAGCTAAAACTTTAAAATTTGGCGCTTATCATCGCTATTACGATGTTACAATTGTAACATCGTAATAGCGATGATAAGCGCCAAATTTTAAAGTTTTAGCTTTAATAACACCAATTTTAACAACTAAGTTTGTGTACTGACGGAAATAAATAAATATACTATTCAAAAAGAAGTCTTTGTGATCATATTGACCTATATCACTGAACCATGTTAAAGTATTGACAGTTTTTTGATATCAGTTTGTTGCCTTCTAGGACATAACACAGCAAGAATTATGTGATAAAGATGCCGTAAGGTTAGTCGAGCAATGTGCACGCTTTCACATCCACTGCTCTGAGAGGCTTGTGGCCGAAGATACAAGTGTCTTTGATAACAAGATAAACTCAGAAAATTTGACAAAATGTTTGCAGACTTTGAAGTACATGTATCATGACATGTCGTTGAAAGGGATTTGTTGCCCGAATGAAGCAGAATTTAGGGGCTACATCATACTTCTGAACTTGAATGATGCAAATTTCATGTGGTACGTATTTAAACTCGTTTTTGTTTGCTTAATGTAATATCCGATACTTTGGTCTGAGTTGCTGCTGGCAAGAGTGATAATTGGTCTGCATCGTGATCCAACTCAGTTCGCTCGCACTTTCGGACTGTGGTTCTCTGTCCCCCCAGCTATGCCTGTGTCTCTCAAGTGTTGTATTCCTTTCACGTTTTTCAGCCGAGACGTCCCTTGCAGCTGTTATTTCTCCCAGCTGTGGTATATGCCATGTCTATCTCATCCCCCTCTGATTTAATCACTAGCAATGTTATGCGAAGCACGCAGGTTGTGAAGTTACTCATGACGTAATTCTTTCTGGTTATTTGTTACTTTTCTCTTATGTCAGTGTAAGCACCTCAGAATTCTGTTCTCAGTTTGTTATTGCTGATTGAAATAAGTTAGCAAGTGAAGCTTATCATCATTGAACTGTCGAGTACCATGCTGAGAATTAATTTAGCAACACTCCACAAAAATTTCCTTTACGTGAGTTTGGAATAAATTTACTTGAGAGTAGTGTTTCACATTGTTATTATTTGTTTCAGGGAACTCAAAGAATTGAGTCCAGAAATAGTCAATTCTGAACCAGTAAAGTTTGCTATTGAGGTGTCGCTCGCATTAAGCATGGATAATTATGTTAGATTTTTTAAGCTGGTAAGGCGTACAACGTATCTGAATGCCTGCATTCTGCTGCGGTACTTTGCTCAGGTCCGTTCCAAGGCTTTTTTCTCAATCTTGAGGTCACATTGTTTTGGGAATAAGCAGTCTGTGGTGAGTATACTTCTGTGAAGTCTGCAAATTATTGCGTATTAATCTTCAGGTATCATTTACTCATTGGTTAAAATGTTCAAACTTTTTAATACATACAGTATGTGAGCTTTAATATTTTGAAAGCTCTTATTTGTATTTCTCATGAATGAGAAACAATACTTGGCCTTTTAATCTATGTTTATCTTTCTGTATCCTGAGATACAACTTATAAATGTAAAAGGCTGATTCTTAATTGCTGTGTATTAACTGAAGGTTTAAAAAGGAAATAATCTTTTTCTTATGATTTTGTTCATGTTGCAAATACTATGCCCTTGATACAACTTCTCTTAAATTTTGAGCAAACTGTGCTTATAAATTTTACCAACATTTAATGGATACTGTAGTTGTAAGCAAGTATCTTTCTAGAATGTTAGTTGAATTAAATGCACAGTTTGTTCTTACATATCATATGATGTGATGTTAATAATGCACCTAAATTTTTCTGCTGCAGACGTAAATCTGTGCTATAGTTCTATTTGGATATATAGATTTTTCATAAGGTAGTATATTTGCGTCATATTGTGAATTAAGTTAATATTTTAATATTTTCCGTCAAATCACAATTTATAATAAGATAATAAAATATAAAATATTTAAAATGTGTGTCGGGTCGATGCGGAACGTGAAATGATATTTTAAATATTTTATATTTTATTATCTTATTATAAATTGTGATTTGACGGAAAATATTAAAATAAAATATTAGATTTTTCATAGTTAAATTTATAATATGCATTTGGTTTTGTTTCAGCTAGCAATTCAAGACTTTGCAAGATGGCTTGCTTTTGAGAATGTGAGGGATGCTGCAGTGTTTTGTTACCATTACGGCTTAGGGCTAAATGCTGACAACACTGAAGTGATACTGTGCAAAGATTCCTTGCAGATTCCATCTCATGCATTACCTGTTGGTCGTGCTATTTTGCTCATTGAAAGGAAGAGAACATGTTCGGTGGGAGAGGTGAGTGTTCGTATTAATAATTTATATGTATATTTGACGCTCTGTGTTTGAACAAAGAATTAAGGGCAGAAAGTCTCAAATATGAAATGGGAGTATCAGTTTCTCTGTAATATTATGTCCCAGGAGTAGTTCTGATATGTCAGGGTATTCTGAACTGTTGTTAACAGGTGGTGAACGGCGGACCGCTGACGTTGGACACGTTTCAGAATTACAAGCCACAGTCCAGCTTCAACATTGATGGTACTGTTAACCAGGAAACCATGGATGCACTAAATAAGATGTTTAATTTAGAAACATCAAAACCTCCATGCAAGGGTGGTAAGTCGGAGTGTGGCGTATCTGATGACGTTGCTAAAATGAGTGACGTGGAGAGAATTGGTCATCAGGAGCAAGCTATAGAAGAAGCTGAGACATGGAAGGTGAGTGGAACTAGTTTTACATTGTCTCGTTTAAATTACTGTATTCTGCAATGAAATAATTTTAAATGTCTATCTTTGTGGATCTAATACATATGCAAAAGAGCATGCTATTAAAAATTAAATTTTTACTCCATAGTCATAAAAAAAACCTTTGTGCAATACTTGTTTGACTTCTTATGCAGAATATTTTTATTTAATAAATTTCTGAAACCAACCTCAGCTTGCATTGGTGCCCTGAATTGCATTTACTTTGTGATTTTTGGTGAATTCAACTGACACATTTTACAGAACATTGCACAATCAAAATGTTGTCTCTCGTTTAAATATGTAGAAGTTTTTTGTTATAGCAGTGGAAATTTTACTTTTTCTTATGAAGAGCCCACCAGTAACTGCTGCTTTGTAGCAGATGCAACTTATGGTCACTTAAAATGCTCTGGTTGAAGTGCAGTGGCCCGTTGGTAGCTTTCATGGCGTTGTGACAGCGTTGTGTGTGGCCTTATAAAATAATTGTTACTATTTTAATACAGTTATTTTCAACAGAACAGAAAATAGTTTTAATTTCTCTTTCTTTTTGTCTAGTCAAATGAAATGATGCAAGGCATGTTATCTGAGATTATTCAGGAAGAGCTCCAGGTTTTCAGTGACAGATTAACGAATGTTGGTCTTCTGGAACTGGATGAAATGCTGTTAGATGTGACTTGCGATTTGACAAGGTAGGTGATCTGCCTGTCTTAACTTTCAGGCATTTTTACATAACTTTCAGTAGGAGGCTCTTCCTGTATGGTTTTTGACATGAAATTTGACATGATGCAAAAAATTAAAAGTATATATATATATATATACAAAATTGTTTTCTCACAAAATATAAATGAGTCACCCATTAAAAATACAGGAGATTATATCTTAAATGGAAATTTTGCTTGTGGTCTTCACTGTCTGCCTTATGATGGGGGTGAGAGGCATCCTGCAGAGCGACTCCCATCCTTTCCTTCATTTCAGGGTTTCAGGGATGAAAGAACGAGGGAAACAATAAACAGTTCATCCCCTTTTGGCTTTGTATGTTGGTGCACCACAGTGTTCTTTTTATGTTTTTCGTGATTCTTGCAAATGGCATATCCCAATTTAGACATTGGCTCTAGAAGTGTTAACTAATACACAGGCCCCACTCTCGTCGGTGTGCGTATGTTTTCTGTGCTGACTTCCTGGTGTAGCATGTTCTTATCCTTTTATTCTTTATTCTACCCTCACTTCTGAGTTGTGAACTTATTTTAGGGAAATTTATAAGGATGTGGTCGCCACTGAGAAAGAAATTGCAAGGCAGGAAGCAGAAGAAATTGCAAAGAAGGAGGAGGCAGAGCGTCAGAAGTTTGTGGACGTTAAAGCTGCAGAGGTATGTCGTGCGTTTTAAAGAACTCATAAGGAATTAATTATTCATCCAGTAACATGATCTTGGTAGAAGTTGCACCGGTTCTCACAGAACTGTAGGCTAATAATATTTACAATAAATTACAGACATTATGTGATTTCACTGCGTTTCATTCACTGACTTCTACAGAGTTTTGCATAGCATTATTTAGATTATGTTTATCTTTGTAACAGATCCTGCTTGGGGTCTGTTAGACCCAATACTTCTAGTTGTAAATTTTTGAACAAATGTATATCAACTTGTTAAATTTGCTAACTTAATCATTTTACACTCACGCATCACATTTAAGTGTTTGAATGTCACAGTATTCTGTGCCGTGTCATAACAAGCACAAACATTTATGAAACATATAACATTGTATGTGGTTTCAAGGAAAAAATTATTTGTATGAAAGAATAACAGTGATAATATTGATATTTGTGAGATAATTTACTGAGAAACGTGTATCATTTGATATATAATTACATATGTATTATACGAGATGTAAGTGTCTGTCATGGGTAGAGTTAAGGTTTTGGTTTTCAGGGTTGTGACACAGTGTCCTCTTGTAGGTGGTTACCAGTAATTTAGAGAATCATATCACCTGCATTGTAGAAGTTTTCTACCCAGATTAAGTTTAATAATATTTTCCTTAAATACATTTTAATATTATAATCCCAGCTGTACATTGTTTTGGCCAACCATACATTTTCCATAGTAAATTTTGTATGTATTTATTGTGCTTAAAGTTTGAACAGCGAGAGGCTGAAAGTTGTGACAGATTCAATTACTGAGGATTTTTCTTTCCTGAAATTCACAAATATTTGTGATGTCCAGATTTGTTTATGCTGATGGAGTGCATTGTGCAAATTTGTCTAGAATTTGTGTGTTCAATTCCAGTTCTTGGATATATTTCTGTCTGGCTGTGTGACTGAACTCATCAAAGAAATTTGTGAAGAAGAACAGCATTTTCATGAGTTATGTTTACAACAGATGTCTGGTATCTTGATTGAAGTCACTTTGGAGGATTGCAAAAATATTTTGAAGAATGTTATCAAAGAGGAGCAGTAAGTATCTTTCCCTTGTGTTATAGATACTGGAAACAACTGGAACCTCACAGTAATGAAAATTACTTTATATGTAACCAGCTTCATGGTGCTGGAAGTAGGAAACTGTCTTGTAATAATAATGTTTCTTCATGCATTGTTCTTGTATTCATATTCATTGTGCCTTGTCCATGAGTTTATATAAACCAATGCTAATATCAACCCATCAAGCCAGAAGAATGTATATGTGCATCATCTGCTTTCAGGTCCAAGCACTGGTTTGACGTATGTACAGATACCATACTGACAGTATTTGTTCATAATTTCTTGGACTTTAGGTATCATTCCAAGATTTTTTAAAAAAAAAACGTAAAGAGTATATTTCCAGCTATTGGAAAATTTAGAAACTATTTCAGTAATGCCATTGGGAACGTTTGGTGACATTTTGTTCTCTTAGTGTAATCAAAATGGCTGTTTCTTGAATTCTGTATGAAAATCGTTATGATATTTTGTCTGGTGATGAAGAAAGTAGTGTTGAATATTTTATTCTTACCTTTATGTGTGTTTCAGTTTGGAATTACTATTACGGAAACGGCAGGTATCTGATCTCAGGAATTATTTCAATATTTGGAAAAGTTCAGTAAGAAGAATGAAGCTGTTCAGGAAATGTATGTCTGAGTTTCCTGCTTGGATGTCATCTTTAACAGTAAAGGAACAAATTTTACATCTTGAGAAGCCACAGATCATTGGTAAAACAGTTGCAAAATTTTGTAAGTATTTTATTTGCTTTTTCCCATATTCTCTGATACATTTAATTAATCCTTAAAGTGTGATATGGAGATGGATTGGTAAATCACACTGCATGACTTTATATCTTGAATCAAGGATTGTTAATGTATAGGTTGGTAATGACTGTTGATTCAGTGGGTGGGTGGGTACATTTGTACATACAATATTGTACAATAATAAAAACATAAACAGCGTTGTTTACACTGCTGACACTTGAAATCAAGGTATGACGCTGTTTTTTTGGATTGGTTCCTTATTGGTTTTTTGGTGTGTTTATTCCTTAATGTTACAGCCTTACCTGCTCATACTATGGACAGTATGAATAAAATACCTGTGTTTGATATTGTGTCATGTGAGCTGTACATCAGTCCAAGCAGACAGTACTCTGTGCAAAAATACTTCAAAATGGTGGTGTCAATCCCTGATGAAGTAGAATCTCCAACATATGGATGGTTTGTCAAAAAGTATACAGAAAATGTATTTTCTACAAATAAAGATGCAGATGCACTTAACCAGGTGAGAACTTCAGGCATTCATATATCTACAGAAATATGGTTTGTAATGTGAAGTTGTCGGAAGACCCATAACTTATATCTGTTCAGAGTAGAATAAACCTCATGTAGCTAGTAAATCCAGTAATGAAATATTTCAGTAGTTCAGTAGTTTCTGAACGAAGGGTTTCATAACAAGGCTGTGCTGCCATTCAGAATCAGGTTTATTTATAATTTCCATGACGATTGGATTTGAGGTTCACACTGTGGTGAGTATGGAGATGTCTGTCTTCTGATTTCAGAGGTGCTTAGTGCCACTGTCATCAGAGTGATTAATTATGGAAGCAATAAGTGCCTCTGAAATGTCATTCAGTTTCTACAAGAGTGTTCAGTGCAACACCCCAGAAAAGTCATCTTCGTACTCATGACCTTGAGAATCTGAAGTCACACAAAGTTCAACCTTGCATATATCTTGCGATGTATTTGTGAGCATATGTTTTAAGGTCATAAAATTATTAAATCTGGTATAAAATGTCCATATTAAACATGGCACATTGATAAGCACTAAAGATTTATTGTTTTCATATATTTATTTTAACATTGCTATAGGCAGAACCTCTCCTGCTGGAAAGGAAACTTCTGTCTGCGGCTTCAGAGTTGACAGTCAGTGTGAGATGCCTTGTTGGTCCAGATATGATCGAAGGTGGAATCTCTAACCCTGAAGCTATGGCTGGAACGAATGGTCTTCTTTTTCTGGTTTGCCATGATTCTGTATCAGAATCTACTAAGAGAAGATTACACGAAGTGATTAAATCAAAGCATCACTATGGTGGAATTCCTGTAGCGTTCCTTGTGACGGACTGCCTGGGCAAAGAACAGATGAAAGTGGATCTGAACATAGAATCACTAATGTATGAAACTGGAATTCGTATTGGCGAATTTTTTTATCGCAAGCCAAATTGGAAAAGTGGATTGGAAGACATGGTGAGTATAGTTAATTGTAGGTAGCGCCATAAAGTTCAGAATAAAAGATTTATGAGAGGAATTTTGGCCACGATAGAGGCAATCTGTCAGCAGACACAGGAAACTCATAGTTATTTGCCTTATAATGGTTCATTTGATAATGAGAGTCAGTTTGTTACTGAGAAATGAACACCGTTCGTTTTCCAGTTCTGCAAAGCCGTGTTTTGGCTCGCTCAAAATACCGATGATGTTCCACTGGCATTCTGCACCACAGCAGAGAATGTAATGCGCAAATACTTGGGAGACCAACTCTGGGAAAAATTTGAATTTCATGAAAACAGCAGTGATGAAGATGCAGGAATAAAAATGGTATACTCATTTGATTTTGCAATTAATTATTTGTAAGTAAAGATTTCTTTATGTAGGAATCCAATCCGTGTTTGTCGCTCATCTCACTTGCATTTGTTATTTTTTATGACGTGAAATTTGTGTGATGTCTATGGCATCTTTGTGTTGAGTAAAATCATTTGACTGATAAACTGGCGATGAATTGGAAAGGATGTGCAAAGAACTTTCTCTGTTTCAACATACAATCCGAGCATTTGCGTGACTTCTACCACAGTACGTGGTGTTACAGCTCAGAAGGCAGCCATTAATTTTTTACCATCTTCCAATCTTACACGTGTTACATCACAATTTTCTGTTGCAGAATCTAGAATCACTGATACATATTCACAACAGAGCATGCCATGAATTGCTGAAGATTGTAACTGAAGAAACCCTAAATAAATGTACAATTGGAGCACCAGAATTTGTGAAGTATATTCCTGCAGTTAATATTGAAGAATGTTCTTCAACCAAACTGTATAAAGTCATGCCACCATATTTTGGATCACCAGAGTATAAAAATTCTTTATTTGAGGTGTGGTTTATATAAATATTTATTATGCTTAGATGTAACTTTTTTTTGACACATCATTAAGAGAACTGATTTTTATATTATTATTTGAATGTCATTATCTGTCATACTGTGGATTGGCATGCGTACATTTATTGTGTGACAAATGATGTTTTCTGTCAGAATTCTGTTCATCGTGTAGTCATGTTTCCAAAAACTGTGCTTACATACTTGCCATTGCTGGATTTAGGGATTAAGTAGGTCAAGGCCACGTCGACCGTGTAAGGTTCTGCTTAAAATTAATACACTCATAAATTGAGACGCGTTACAGTATAAGATCTTAGAGAAACAGATTGTAATTTATTTGAAGTAGCTTAACTTTGGGTCAAAGCTTTTTTGGTTATGATAGTGAACAGTTTGATTCTTACTGTAAATAGTACTGTATTGTGATTATTTTTCCTTACCAGCTATTGAAGAGTGCGCAGTTTAAGCCCATTACTAAATGGCCTCCAAAGAGTCCAGAAGAGTTACGCACTTTCATGATGGAATACTGTCATCAAAACAGCATTCCTTATGAAGGAATTAATGAAGTTTTCATGTAAGTTATGATGTACTTATGGTCATCAAGTTCATTGCCTGGAAGTGCTACTTAAATTGTCAGGTCCGTGGAATGCTGCTGCGAGTCTGTCTGTACTTTATCTCAAGCTAGTCCAACCTAATCTGAGTTTTTAATGACAGACAGTCATCATGTGATTTTGTTAGTTTCCTTTGTAAATAGTCATTAAGTTGAAACACATTTGTGTAGTTTTTTTTAAGGTGTTCTTTATACTCTGGCATCAGTGAAGAACGCGTAATGGGCCCATGCATGAAGAATGCCACTGTAATGTTCACTCCAAACAGTACACATTTCCATTTTGTGTTTTTCCCTTTGTGTGATTGCCCAGGCATAACACACATACAAATTAAAAGATTTATAGGTCACCCAGGACGATAAAAGTAGTGTGACATTTACGTGATCAGATCAAAATGTTTGAATACAGTTCCATGCCATGCGTTATTAATGGTGTAAGTATTCTGCATGGGAAAAGAAAACCGGTAGTCACAACTGTGATGTCAGTCGGAACAGTTCCATTTCTCTTTTCAGATTATTCAGTGTTTGTCTTCATCAGCTGACTGCGCATCAGAGCAATCCCACGTGGAGTGAGAACGCTTTGTCCCGTATTCCATGGATTTCAGTATTTAAGGTAATGTGCAGTACTCGTTTTGTTGTTGAATGAACCAGCTTGGTAACAGAACAAAGACCGTACTCTGCAGGTGGCTAATGATCGCTTTAGACAGCTCTCTCTTCAATAGATCTATGAAATTACTTGTATTTCAGAAAGTCATGGGTATTAGCAGTGTATCATGTACAGCTTTTTCTTTCCACTTCGCCATCGACCAATTTCTTTTAATGCGATGCTACCATTTGCTGTTCTCCTTAATAAAATCCGACTTTAAACTGCACAAATTTTTTGTCTTTACGTGTGGTACTGTTTGTCCCATCTCATGGTTATTTTAGACCATGTTCTGGAAAAATCCTTTGTCCTTTATTGATTGCACTCATGGCAACGCATTTTAACATGTTTATTTTCCAAAAGGAATTAAATGAATCACCTGTTATGTTCTCCAATACTTATGCAAGCTTCTCAATTTTATGCATTATAGATCATCAGTAATTAAACCCTTCTTGTGAGGAGTGAAATAGCTTGAAGCAATCCAATATCACATCGTTGAACGAGTTAAATCCTGAAGATGGCTGTCTGTGAGGAATGAAATAGCTTGAAGCAATCCAATATCACATCGTTGAACGAGTTAAATCCTGAAGATGGCTGTCTTCTGTGTTGTAGTACTATGTAGTCCTGTAGAATTTTACCATAATTTCAGGGGTCCTTGCTGCGTACCCTAATGATGGAGGCAGCAAGTACCTCTGAAGTATCAATTTCCTCCCTCAGAGGTCTTGGTGAAATACTTAAATGAATTTCTCATTTGAATACAGAGTATTTCTAAAAGAGTTATTTGCTGTAAAAATATTGTTTTTATTTATGATGTGTTTTTTCAGTTGCTGTTCAAATATAAGTTACGGAAATTGAATTTTGGGGATAAACTATCTCAAGAGGAGGGAGAACGTGAGATAATGGTGGCAATGAATCGTGAGAAGATATCTTCATTCGTAGAAAGCCAGTGGTTGTGTTACTTACGTATGAAGGACAAAGGTGAGCCAAATGAAAGTTAGTTTCACAAAAGTGGAATAAATTTTTGGCATATTTCATGAGAAGCGAATAAATATGGTACACATCTTTGTCTCTGTGTTTCATAGGATGTATCTAATTAAGTATTCCGTAATGTGTAATAGGCACTGTGAAAGTTGAAACTTACAGTAAATGTAACTGTAGTCTGATATCTATAGCATTAAGTGGCAAGTTGGATTTGATGGTGCTGATTGGTACAGCAGAAGAGCCCACTGTTCACCCTGAAGATGGCAGTGTAATGTTTGCTGAAACATTAGATTATTTTTGGTGTTTAATGTGGCTCATCTCTGAAAGCCAAAGTTGTACTAATGTTGTTCTCCCTTCTGTCCTAACCACCATCGCAAACTACTCTGAATGAGAGTTGACTCATTTTCTTCCTTTGCAGAAATGGTTTATGCAGCAACTAAGCGACAGTCTGCAGTGTGTGATTTTGCAAGAGACGGCGAAACAGAATGTGGTTTGAAAAGGAAGTCAGTTGATAACGACCCCAGTGTTAAAAAAAGACTTTCCAATCAGCCGCCTCTCCACACGAACGTTGAAAATGTCAACACGGCTCTCCGGAAGTTGTCCGAGTGGTTAGACGAATGTTCCAGCAAGCAGTGGGAACTGGGAGAGAAGCTAAAGACTGCTGTCTGTGATGATGGAACCTGAACACCAACTAATGTTATTATTCCCTTCTACATTTCAAGCATATGAGTGTAATTAATATAAAACACTGTCGACTTTAATAATGTTTAAATTTATGAAGTGTCTCAGGATGTTGTACTGCAAATGGTTTGAAGATGGTGTATAAAATTGAATAATATCCAGTGACTTGGAACATATTGTGGTTTTGATTAAGTTGTTTAAGTAATTTTAACTCAATAAAATGTATTTAATTGTGGTAACACTTTGGAACCTTCATGTGCTATACCTTAAGTGCCTTGAGATGTATTAGACTCTTTGATATTGGCACTTTGGTTGCTGCTAAGATATCCAAAAATAGGTATGTCACAGACCTCATTTGACTGTTGCCATTGCTTAGATCCAGGGATATCTTTGCACCATTTTGACTTCCCTACAGCTTGGACATATGCCGAGTTATCTGCTGAAATTAAGTCTAATTTCCGAAAGGGCAAAGTTTTGAACAAAACTGTTCTTGTAAGTAAGATTATTTAATTCCCTACCAATATCAGTATGACTGGGGTTCAGTTCCCTGCATGGCATATTTCTCTCAACGCCATAATGTCCAGACAGGCTCAGGCACTCATACATCCTCCCACTAACTTCCATTTGGTGCAGAGGCTAAGAGTGCATCGAGCTCTTCTTCCACTCCTCATTACATTGGCATGGTAAGATTCTTAATTAAGAACTAGGCACAACTTTACCTTTTCTTTGCCATCATCATTACATACATGATGGCCAAGGCAGCTTCATCGGAGAGTGTCGGAACCATCAGGAGTCAAGAAATGTAGTTGGTGGTGAATGTTTGAAGAATGTGCAACATTAATTTCTTATACCATTCTACTATTATTGAGAGTTGCTTTAATAATGACGGGGACAGTGTGACATATGAAACGTTGGTAAACATCTACCATACTACACGGCACAACAACCCAGAAGACAGAAATCTTCAAAAGTAACATTAATTTTGAAACTGAATTTTTACAACATACCTGCATACTCTTTGCCTTTTGGTGAGGGAAGTGTAAACCCGATGTGTTTAAATTTCCCACTGGCATAATAATTTCCTACTTCTAAGCCGAAAACAAATTGTAGTAAGCAGATGACTGTTTTCTGGATTGTAGTGCCACGTAGTATGGTAGAATTTCACCGATATTTCAGAAATACTTGTTGCCTCCATCTTCAGGACGATGAGAATTTAGTAACTTCGTAATGATATACGATGATTTAGATACAGGAATTTGTCATAAGTATCGGCGTTAATTGTGATATTTTGTATGTTCTGTGGTAGTTCCGTACTAAGATTACTATGAGCTTTTGAATTCTCTTTGATGATAAACGTGTTCGTGTTTAAGACACTGGTATTATCTATGATGACAATCACATGGCTGATGTCTATGTAGCGAGCAGCGTGGAGGAGATACGAATGGCGTCTGATTTAAGCGAGAAAGTTCTGCATTATTTAGATACACATGAAAGTGTAGATACATTGCACTTAGCAGTTCTCTTCAATGTAGACCATCAGAAGGTTATTGGAGCTGTGAAAAGTTTACAAGCTCTTGGTGACGTAAGTGATCCAGAAAGAATGCAATATGCATGAAAGATGCCTTTGATATATTTTGGCCAGGGGACCGAGACATTAGTTTGGTTTGCACCATTATGAATTTATTAAATGTATTTCGAGTGAGTCAGATTACATTACAGTTCCAAAGTTAATTCAGAAATTTCCGATTCGTAATAATGTGCGTGTGAGGCACATCAAAACAAGACCGGTATAAGTGATATTGAGGTTCTAACGTTGGTGAAGATGTCGATGTTGGTCTTCTGGGTTGAAATTTCGTGTGGACTTGGAGGGAGACGCCAGTGTTCCAGAGGAACATTGCTTCAGTTTTCAGCCCAGAAGACGGAGGCAGTACGTTCCTCCGAAATGTTGGTGTTTACCTACAAAACCACAGGACATTGCAGTCCAGGTAACCAATGTCAACATCTCGCGTAATATTTACCCTTTGACTACAAGTTCTGAGTTGTTTTGATGTAGGACGAGTATGCTTAAAATGATATCTCTGTTCTCTGTATAATCCAGAATGAAACATTTTAATGTGTATTAAGTACCAGTACCCTTGTGTTTTTGTACGGGATATATTTTAGTATTTTAATAAACTAGGGGAGGCAAAAAGAAATATGCTATATTGCAGATGCCTTGTGTAAAACATAACGAGATGGGAGTAGTTACACTGATTTAACCAGAAGCTGCTTCTGCTACTTATCACAACATGCTGAGTTTTGTAAATGTTATGATATTGAGTGATCCCTGTTGCAGTTGGTCACTGTGGAACAAGAAGTGCACAAGAAATGGGAACTCACAGATGAAGGAACAAAGGTAGCAGAAAATGGTAGTCATGAAGCAGTTGTGTATAACGCTGTTCCTCCTAATGGAATCTTGCAGTCTGACCTCACCGTATGTTAATATTCACTTCAGTATATAGTTACGGGTTACACTGATACTAATAGAGTACCATGTTAATTAAACACATGGATTGTTTTAACTTTATACCTTATTCATGTTCATTGTGATTTACTTTCAGAAAGGGGAGTGTAATTCTTAATTAAGGTTTTTGTTACAAATTTTTATGTATATAAAAATTATTATATAAGCTGTTCCATCGTAATCAGCCTTTGCTCTCACTTGTTTTGTTGCAGAATAGTTTAGCAAATATCAAAGTTGGATTCAACAAGGCAATGTCATGTGGATGGATTTCAATATCCAAACAGGGAAATGAATCATTGGTGACTCGCAAGGTAGATTCTATCATTGACTTAGTCCAGCAGCATCTAAGGCTCATTCAAGCTGACAAAAGTAACGAAGTTGACGATGCACACAAGCAGGAATATCGGAAAAGGAAGTTGCTGCAAGAAGTGTAAGTTCGCGTTTACTTGTTTATAGCGTTAAAAGTTACGGCCAGGAATAGTGTTGTATTTTCTGTTTGTTCATGTCTTCGAATACTAAAATACATTATCTAGTAAAACAAAATATATCAGATTGAATATTCTAATAAAATACTTGAAATCGTAAATTTTATGTTGTACAGATTGGTATTCTGAGAGACATCCTTTCTTCGGAAGTTGAGGTAGAAAAGTTATTCTTCTATTACCTTTATTATTGTGGTCATAAAAATAAGGTTTCTGCATATATCATGAGAGAACTCCTTCCAACTAGACAGCTACAACTCAACAGGAGCTTATTCATTGGCTGGAGTTGTGTGACAGGTCGTTAACTACAGCTCAGCCAATCCCATCACCCATAGTCTGTGGCAAGTACTTGCAGGCGTTCGCATATCTGTCAGCCTATTGAATGAACTAATCATGTTTGTCTATTATTTTGTCATTGGAAGGGATGTGAATTACTTTCCAAATACCTGTTTGTTTGTTTTTCCAATTACTTATTTGTGGTTTATTTATTGACACTCTCAGTAGCTCTTACCGTATGGCAGTGATTGATATTATTAACGAATGAATTGGAAGGAATGTGGACAGAAGCAGTTGTGGTCTAATTCAAGGTACTACCATGATTTTCTGGAGAGACTGAGGAAAACCATTAAAGCTTTAGTCAGGATTGCTGGTATCGAGGCCAGAGTTATAATCCAGGACTTTCCATATACGAAGCCCACTTGTTACCACCTTGTTCAGTGTTATGTTTTAATATCCCACAGTACTGTAAGAATCAAGATCATGAAGATTTCTTAGTGAATTATACATATATATGAACGTTAAATCGTAGGTGTTTATTTTATTTTCAGGGTAATTAAAAGCTTCCTCTTAGGTAAAGGTAAAGACTTCACCGTATCCGTAGAGAAAGCGGAGTCGGACTTGACAGTGGAAATGATCACCGGTGGTTCATGGCGAGAGAAGAAATTTAAACCGTATAATTTAGATGCCCTGGGTGTTCCGCCAGCTTGCGGACATCTTCATCCACTTCTCAGAGTTCGAGCTGAGTTCCGTCAAATCTTTCTGGAAATGGGGTGAGTATGATCAGAAGGGACTTTCTTGGTGTTTAAAACCTTGCGCTGCACATTATTTTTTTGTTCCCCCCCACTGCTTTGGAAGCCAAAGTTCACAGTAGACTGTAGAGCTTGAGAAGAAGAAGAAGATGATAACTATGTGGATAATGATGATGTGATGACTCCTATTTTTACTATCACAGGTTCACTGAAATGCCGACCAATAACTATGTTGAGAATTCATTCTGGAATTTTGATGCTCTCTTTCAACCCCAGCAACACCCAGCAAGGGATGCACATGATCCCAAGTTGATGCAGAGTGACACTTAACCTCTTGATTAACACATGAAAACTAATGCACTGCAAAAAGCCCAAGTTGACGCAGAGTGACACTTAACCTCTTGACTGACACATGAAAACTAATGCACTGCAAAAAGAAAGCTTGAAGGCAAGGGACCGCTTCGATGGGAGAGTAGTATTCAAACGGATCTTAGAGAAGAAGGGTTGTTTGCAGTATCCCATTTGGTAGCACGGTTGCCTATAGTGTGGGTGGCTGGGCTTTCGATCCAGCAAGGAATATATTTTTAATCACAATGTCTAGTATGACTTCGGCTAACAAATTTTTACTGATATTAATTCTTTCCATTTCCAGTTCTTTTGATAACTCATATTTTTGTAGTCAGTTTTGTTTCTAGGTACATTAAAAATTATATTATGGATTCTGAGGTGTTAAACCATTATTAATTATTTGCAGTTGTAACACTTGTATGTTATTGTTAAAACATATAATTGTGTATTAAATACACGGGTAGTATTGATATAAAGATTTGTTTAAAGAATTTATGGATGTGCCTGTATTAATAGTGGTAGGAAGTCAACATTTTCAAGGTAATTAACATTTTGTGGACTGGATTTTGAAATTATTGTATATTATAAAATCAGTGATGTGCACATTTTTTTTATTTTTGGTTTAAGATTTTGAGGGATCTGTAATGATGAAAACATTATAGATAGAAATATCTATGTCCTGAAATGAAGGGAGGTAGGAGATGTTTGGAAATCAACGTTTTGTTTCGCAGATCCTAGAAGCAGCTGTCACTTCCCACCTGAATATCTGCAGAAGGTAAAACAGGTTCATAGTAAGGGAGGATATGGATCGCAGGGATATGGATATGACTGGAAGTTAGAGGATGCTGAGAAGAACTTGCTTAGAACTCACACGACAGCTGTGAGTGCACGGATGTTATATCTACTTGCGAGGGAGGTTAGTTTCTCTCTCTCTCTTCAAGGAATGAATATGGTAACATTTTCCCATTTAAGGTGTAGGTTAGTTGATTACCAGAATCACAAAAGATGGAAATCTTGCACAACGTTTATACTATATTAGTGCCTGTATGTTGTGCCGACTTTTGATGGACGTGCGCTGTAGCGATGGAAAGGAACTTCATTTTAATCTTGCACAACGTTTATACTATGTTAGTGCCTGTATGTTGCGCCGACTTTTGATGGACGTGCGCTGTAGAGTTGCAGGTCACATGTACCCGGGAACAATTTCAGTGCTTAATGGTCCTGTAGCGGCACCTGGCACATTTAATAAATGTTATTATGTGACCGCTAAGTATGACTGTGAATTCAGTGGCTTTGATGATTTTTTAACTAATTTCTTTCAGGGATTTAAACCTTCCAAGTACTTCAGCATTGATCGGGTGTTTCGTAATGAGACTCTTGATGCCACGCATCTTGCCGAATTTCATCAGGTGGAGGGGGTCGTTGCTGATTATAACCTGACGTTGGGTGATCTGATAGGTATGCAGTGATATTTGAAGCGAAAATCAATTAATATATTTCTTTTATAATTCTACTGTAATGTACAAGACTGGAGATGGATGGTCCAGTCTGTCGAGTATTAGCTGAGAGAAAACTGACATTCTAACCTGTGAAGAGATGTTATACTAAGAACTCTATGAGAATGTTTATTATCATCTGGAAGCATTTCTGCTAACGTTGTGTAGCAGCGTCGTGCCCGATGTGTTTGTGTTGTTGCAGGAACGTTGTATGAATTCTTCAGTAAGCTTGGCATAACTCAGCTTCAGTTCAAGCCGGCATATAATCCGTACACGGAGCCCAGTATGGAGGTGTTCTGTTATCACACGGGTCTGAGAAAGTGGATTGAGGTTGGAAATTCTGGTGTCTTTAGACCAGAAATGCTTCTGCCAATGGGTGTTCCGGAAGATGTTAATGTCATTGCATGGGGACTTTCTCTTGAGCGGTGAGCTCTTTTTAAAAATAAAAGTAAACGTAAATTAATTCACTTCTTCTCATGTTGGTTGAGATCTTTTATTAATATCCAGATAAAAGCTAAAACCTTTTGAATCCACGTTATAAAAGTGTTGATTTGTCTAAAGATTCATGGCCCCTCATGCAGTACAGTGCATTCGGATTGAGCACGTGTACTGATCGTAAATGTAACTATAGGAAGGAACGTGCGCGCAGCAATTTACTGTTATAGATGGTCATTCAGAAATGATTGGGACTTGCCTTGAATACAGGCTTACAGGTGATGATAGCCGCACACTTCAAATATTCCTCGATGATGGTGGGGTGGCTGGCAGAGTTTGGTGTGGTTTGTAGAAGTATAACAAATATAATACTCCAGATTCTTTCTTTGTGGTATTTTTTTTTTGTTACAAAACTCTAGTTAATTCATTCTTTCAATTTTTAATATTTATTATGTAAGTTCTGTATGCCAAATTTGGTACATTTTCATTTCTCTTGCAGACCAACCATGATCAAGTATGGATTGAACAACATTCGTGATCTTGTTGGAGCTAAAGTTAATCTGCAGATGGTTCACGACAGTCCGATATGTCGGCTTGACAAGTGAGAATACCGTACATTTTCTGTACTTTGTAGTTATTTTGCTTGTAGATGAATAGAATGCTATGTCCTTAGGTGTGGTGAAATTCAAAGTTGATGGTTTTCTGGCGATGGAAAACCAACATTAAACTGACTTGACTCCATGGGGTAGAGTCCATTTTGAGCAGATAATAATCTCTCTTCTAGTCAAGACATTTCTAACCTTTCATGTAACCCAAAGTTTTATTACCAATTTCATAATGCCCTACCACTTTCTTGCTATCTTGAGCCAAATGAATCCGGTCCATGCCCTCGATCCCTCTGCCTTTAAGATTCATTTTAATATTATCCTACCACCTACACGTAATATTCCAAGTAGTTTCTTTACTTTAGGTTTTCTGACTGTAATTTTTTGTGCATTTCTTATTACCACGTAAAAATAATTTCCTGGAACATTTATTGGAAGTGTGGGCAGGAAGGTAGGGGAATTAAAGTGAATGCTTTTTGTCAAGTCTATACATAACAGGACCCGCTTAATTGAAGATACTTTAAATTAGACCAATACTGCCATAAAATTGTTTTTTTCTGTTTGTCGGAGCATGTGATGAAAATTGCATTGCCTGATTGTTCTCATGGGTTTTCTTACTTTGCACTTTTGAATGTTTTCAGGAATGGAACGTTGGGGACGGATCTACAGACATTGGAGCAGCGCTGGAATTCCATTCTCTTACGGTTAGAACAGTTGTATACAGAGCTGAGAAAGCTAAAGAATAGTTCTGATAATCCTGAAAATGGCTTCCAGAATGTGGATGAACAGAATTTAGAGTTTGCGATTGTCTCAGATCCTCATCATCCTCCGTACTCTCTCGTCATCCTCTCAAAATTGCTCGCGGACAGGTACAGAATCAAGGTGTCATCTCACGCCCATTCTTCTGTTGCTTTTATTCCTTCTGAATTGCAGTCTTTTTTGACTGGTCCTTCAAACAGCGTTGGTACAGGCAGGACTATAAAAATAACATTGATATGGAAGAAGGTGGGGAAGGATCCCTTGTTAATCCAGTGCCCTATTTCCAATGGTACAATAGCAGGAGAAGTGAATATTGCAAGGTACCTAAATCGTTTGCTGGAGCAAAAACCTGATCCTGTTCTCGTGTATGAAAGTAAGGGGGAAATTTATGGAGGCCAAGTGGATGAATGGTTGGATAGTATTTATATGTCATTAACTCGTGGAAGTAACGAGGTACGTTCATATGCCCTGACTTCACTTTCCGCTGTTCTTAGTAAACAGGATTGGTTGCTTCACTCGATGTCTGTCGCAGATATCTGTCTCTGGTCTTCATTGAAACAGAATCCGTATTTAATCGACTCCGATTCTAATCTGAAAAAATGGTTTAGAAAATGTCAGCATATTTGGTTCACTTAAATTCCTACATATTTAAATTTAACTGTGAATGGTCTCGTTACTTTTGTTGTGACCATTTGAATGGCTGCCATTTCCCGTTGGGAGTGTTCTGAGGGACTTAGGTATTTTTAGTGACGTAATATTTTGATATTGAATATGGTTGATGGAAAGTTTCAGAAGTAACTTTATAACAAGTATTAGGGCTGTGAATGTGATATTGTCTGTTCAGTAGAGGAATATAATGAAAAGTGTTTAAAGTGTGTATCATGGCATTTGAAAAAAGCAGAATGAAAAAGTTAAAATGCTTGACATGTGACATGCTGGCGTTTCTGTCTCAAAGATCATTGAAGAGTTTGAAATAGAGGAAACAAAGATGAGATCCAGAAATTTGCTCTTGAATTTAATTATGATGGTGAAGTGTTGAGATGGAAGTAAAACGTAAGTGTAAATGCTTTCAAATCTGACAATGTCTGTTATAGTCAAAAGGTTAATTTGAAACCTTGTAAAAAATAATGTGAATAGTTGGAAATGTAACATGTAAATAGTATAACACAATGAATGGAAAATAAAGAAAGCTGTCTGAAATTTTGATTACCAGTGTTGTGATTATTGTAATGAGGATACCCATGAAGAAATGACAGTTAAGTTGGAGAACCACTTAAAAGAACCTACTGCCTGTTGCATGCCTCAGGTTGAGGATGGAGAAGGCCTCTTAGATGTGAAGGGTACAAGAAAATGTTTAGAATTAGCAGTTGTGGACAGGTGACAAGGGATAGTCGCCAGTTAGGGGGCTAACAAGAGAGAATAGAATTCCTAGATGGGAGAGGAATATTAAAATGGGTCTTAAAGATAGGTAAGAGGGTACAAATTGGATAAATCTGGCTTAGGGTAAGGACTGGTGACTGGTTTGTGAACACAGTAATGTCCTTGAGGTTCTATAATTGGCAGTGAATTTCTCAGCTGAGTGACTATCAACTTATAAATGAGGATCTGCTCTGCAGAGTTGGTTGTCATTTTTGAAGAGGTTCTACTAATCTCATTACAGAGTTCCAAGAAAACCAGTGATGGTGTTTATACTTCATACCGAGCAAATGCATTTTACATATTCCTACTGTTCTGTGTGTTTACCCACCAAAATTCTGTAAATTCTTATGTTTCAAGCCACATGTAGGCCTACTATTATAACCTCCCCCTACAAATTCCGAAAATCGTCGTCGTGAAACTTACTGTACTAAATACGAAATGGTAATGTTGTTAAAATATATAATATTAAATTAATAACCAGTATTAATATTAAATAACCAATTATTTATTCGTAAGTATTTATTGCAAATGACAGTTGCTGCTCTAGTTTGTGATGTGGCTACCCTGACTAAGGGTTTACAGTTCGTGGATTTTTACGAAAATAAGTGGCTATCACTATAGTCCAAATCTTCATCAGCATCGTAGAAGAATAATGGGACATGACTGTACCCGAAAGTTAATATAATGATCACAATATTCCTGCGTAAAAATTTGCTCGCCTGGAAATGTGCATGTTTATAACCCTGCGGAAATCGGAAGAATTCGGGAAAGTTCGTGCTTCTCGTAGTGTGGTCCAGCATCCCCTTCATTTCCATGGTTAACCCTCCATTCAATCTCCCGTCTTTCTCTTGCTAGCATCGAACGGTGTGGTAGTTTGTACGGCCTGACCACAATTCTATGTTCTTGTGCTGCATGTAGATCTCGCAGCTCTGTACATAAGATCAATGTGATCTGTCACCTCGGGTTTGACACACAATTGGATCTTGTCGTCGGGCGTCAGCAACAGCGTTGGGCACTAGAATTGCACAGGTAAGTAGTATGTATAAGCGCCATAATTGTTAACACGTATTTATTTCCAAAACTAGTGGACTCTTGTTTACTAGATTCGTGCCTTTTTTAGAACGCTGTGCTTCATTAGGATGGACTTATAGTGTTATGGAATTCTTTGTAAAGAAATTGCAGACGAACAAATATAAATAGGCCGGCTTTTGTTTGTAAATATATAAAATACCCTGTAGGAAGGATCAGTTCGCCTAATCGGGAGATAAGAAGAGATGAAAAATCGCAAACTTT